GGCAATGCGCATGGCTAAATGCAGTCATCTTCTGAACGGGAGTTCGATTGGTTGGTTCTAGGATTAACACGAGCGGTGTTTGTTTGAGATTCGGTATGTCGAAATAGGAATTAGATGGGTAAATTTATAGGTTGACCACCATGCTAATAAAACATGCAATCGCGACCTTCCCCATATTGGAAGTTGGGCTCATCTAGGACCACCTTTGTGACCCATGCCTCGTGATCGGACAAAAAGCAAATGTTTTCTCGACGGAGAGCCTTCAAGGATTGGGCTTTGTGCCTTATTGACACGAGAATACGAGTCATGTCAAGGGTATTCAGATCTCAGGGGTCTGGGGAATTTGAAAGCTAATTCGATACAAGGGCAGACACAAATACTTGACAAATAGGCAATACTAGAGGCACGGAGTATCAGTGGACGTACATTATTCTACCTCACATTCAATATTCAACTTTTTGGGAGTGGTAGGGTGCTGCCGTAGAAACACTGTGATGACGCTGTGGCGGATGAACGCCCAAATACTTCGAGAGAAAAGACCCTTGCACCACGTCCAGAGTCCAGGGAAGCGGGTCCACAACGTCGGAAAATGGAAAGAAGCATGCCAGGGCTACCAAATACCTGGGAATATGATCGGCAGAAAGCACAGGGAGGACTCATTGGGTCACATATCGCAAACAAGGGAGATATTGACTTGGACCCAGGCCCGCGCACAGAGGCCTAGACCTGACGATAAGCATGGATACTAGAGTATCCACGGTGCGACAATTGCAAGTTCTACTACGGAGGACTCATGCTGAAATGTGGATGATTTCGTCGTACGGGATTGCGAAACAGGAGTGTACGGGATAAAGTGATAAACAAAGACTCTGAACAAAGAGTCAAGTCTGGACCGATCTTTGGCTAGGGCAGGGATACATTGGAAGTCACCTGTTCCAAGCTGAATGTTTACAAGGCGACCATGCACTGCATTGAGAGAAGCATCGAAGCCCGAAAGGCATTCGGAGGAAAGTGATCGGCGCGGATATGCAGGTCCTGCTTCCGGCTGGATTGCTCCAGGAACCTCTTTGCTTTACGAAGTACGGAGAACGGAGTACGGAATACCGCCTCATGGGGTGGATTTCGTTTCGATCTGGAAGATTCCGAGAGATATCCCTTGTTCAGAGTCACATGCATGGTGATCTTTGCGGAGTAGGGTGATAGTACGTAGAACTGACACCGGTAGAGGAGACCATTACGCGTTTATCCAGATCGTGGAAATTTAGTATTTTCTTGCTGAGTTTGATTCCAGATTGGCTTCTCGATCTCGGGGTTCACCTTCACCTGATTCTTAGAAAAGTATGGGCTTCAACTTCATCCCTTACTCCCAAGGCTGACGATAGCCTGTCGTACCGGTCGCAAACTCGTCTAGTGAACATTGCAAATGATCATGATACTTCAAAATGACTCTCCCGTTCATGCATAGATCCTATATAGGCCAGGACTGGTATACGAGTAGAGTCGATCAAAACACTTGATCTGGCACAGACATGTCGGGGAAGCGGGTCACAAAAAGGAAGCTCGCAGGAATGTGATTTGCTCGATGGGAAGTACACGAACAAGGAAATCCCTTTATTCCATACTCCTATGTACTCCTATCTCGTAGGGCGCTTTCATCGCTGAGCATCTGAATTAACCTGCAGGACTGCCATACGGTATTGGTAATTCACCCAAGAGTTGGAATTCAATAGATCCAAATCAGTGGAATGACCACTCGTATATTGTAGATAGTCCATACGGAGTACTCCGTACTCCGCACTTTACTCCGTATAGTAATGGCTTTTGTGGTAGAGATAATGCCCGTCACCGACGCGCCCTATCACATTGACCGAGTAACGGTGACCGTTAGCGCCAAACATCGTGATCCAGGAACGGTGCCACATCCAATCTGTCAATTCAAGTCCTTCATAATCCATCTATGCTCGGTTATTGGTCATCTGGTTTCGAATCCCTCATCTTGCTTTTGACAATCTGCCTGATTACATCGTCGCCCTGGACGAATCCAACCCAGTTATTGCGTCCTTCGTACCGTATCTGATCGACGTGTTTACGGTGTAGCTTTGCATATGGCGGTAGCCTCCTGTTTGGGGCCGATGAATGAACGAATATGCTGTATGACGGTGATCGCTGAGAACATTCATCTCTGCATACCCCTGGAAAATGAGAGATGTCATTGGAGGTTGAGTTCGATCCTTGTGCAACAGGTCTGTCTACTCCGTACAGAGATGTCATTGCAATCACATGAACCTGGAGAGGTCATGTGACGAGCTGCGCGTGACCCTTCGCCACTTTGTGAGTTGTCGATTCTGCGATAGCGGACTGTCCCCGGAGACCCAGTTTTCGGGTATTATGGGGTAATCTACTCCGTATACGCCGTCCTCCGGACTCCTGAATTTGCCTGATTTGCACTAGGCTGTCTGGAAGCGCGCTCGTCACCTGTTTACTTTTTGCCGCCCCCATCTTGTCCGGTCATTTCATCTATCCTGTGGCGAGATACTCCGTGTCCTGGCCCCATTTGAGATGGCCCTGCGGAATTCCATTCTTCCGGGGCCTCGGTACCCCGGTTTTTGCCACTGGGCCCCCACAGGGGCTGATCATCTCAGCTATTTGCTATTTGGCTATTTGGCAGCCTCTTCGCGCTGAGTGATATTACTGTACGGAGTATGGCCAGTTTCATATTACCACCCGGTACCACTCGAGGGGTGGGAAAAAAGCTCCTCTGACAGTACTGGTAGAGACCGTCAGATTCGATCTGCTGGATAGGAAGCTTCTCAACCTTAGAGAGCAAGGCACAGCTACGGAGTACTAGTATGCCGCGCATTCTGTAGGTGATTGTGTAGTGTCATACATCCGACTACCAACGAACCCATTCGAACGAATCAGACGACTGGGCTGGATTTTGGTCAAATTTTCTTCACGAATTGCATCGGGATGATTGGCTGAAGCCACGAAAGGGAATAGTACGGAGTAGGTAGTCCCCAGAAACCAGCGTGCCGGATGCCCTGCGTGGAACGGCGTCATGATTTGCAGGCTTGTCTGGTTAAATCGTATCCCATCCGGATCCCCGCGAGTTACATTGAACCTTCGGCCATGGCTTTGAGGCTTTTACATCATGGACAGGGAATCGTGGACAAGGTCTGTCTCCGGATTCATGTATCCAGGAATATGGAAAATCACAAGATGAAACGTGCGCCTTGTGTGACGGTATCCCGGTAGGGGTCATGCCCTGACTTTTCCAGCTCTCCTCTGTACAGTACATACTGCTACGGAGGAGAGGATTGGAATGATCGGGTAGCTCCTTTCCGTCAGTCCGGGACTCCACTGCTCGCGGCGATCGATTCCCCGTGACGGAAAACAAAGGCCAGACGGCGACTTCCGTAGGATCGAAGGGATAAGCGCTACTTGACAGCTGGCAGACTCGTGACTTTGGCTGGGTTTGTGACACTCCCAACTGTCGTGTCTGATTGAGAGCAAAGGTAGAAAGAGAAATCGGGCCAGGATATGCCCGGAAGAGCAGAGCACAGAAATGGCGGTAAGGCTTCAATCTATCCAGGTGAAGCTGTGGGCCTTTTTTTTTCTTTTATTTTCCATCCACATGATTGAGGCCTAACGCAACATTATCCAGATCCATGTCTATCTGTATAGGGTAATCAGAACGCCTAAGAAGTAGGTTTTGAATTCCTTTGAAACAAAGCACACCGCAAAGAGAGGGCGATCTGCGATGGAAGAAGTACGGTGGTTCCCCGGTATGCAGCCGGCCTTGGAATGATCCCTTTCTCCCGGGTAGGAGCTGCTTGCGGGGAAGAGCTGGGGAAGACATTCAGAATCCAAGGATCAACGGGCCATTTCCAATAGATTGTTTCAACGTCTCGGGCCACGCATGACAATGTCAGTATTTCCGGGGGCAATTCAAGCCGAAGATGCAGAGCCCCACGCTCTGTGATCACATCGTGGCTTTCGATCTGAGACTGATCCCTTCATCTTTGGGATGCAGTGTACCCCCGAGGCGAGCGCGTCCGTGACGAAAATAGGACTGCGATGGACGAGTCAGCCGGACCTCACCTGTCGGATAGCACCAATAGCTGGCAGTTCGACACTTCATCGGTCAGTAGGCCTCCAGAGCAGTGTAAGTCCAAACGCTACATGTGGCGTAGAAGAGAACCCCCGGTCTGGACTTCGGTAAGGCACAACTCCCGTGTCGGGAGGCCGTCTTTTGACTTGTATTCAATATATTCTGCATGTTCATATTCACATCAAATCATAGTACTGTAGTGTACGGAGTCAACGTAACGGAAACAGACCGGTAATTGTATTTTCGGGGGGAACTTCGGAAGAGGAAAAGGAAAGTCTAAAAGTACTACAGAGTACCGTGGCAGTAGGGCCCCGTGATGCGACTGAATTTTCGCCCTCACCGACTCGGTACTTCTTGTTTCCCCTTGTATTGTTTGTATTGTCACGTACCCGAAAATGGAAAATGGAAAAATCAAAATTCGGAAATTCCCTTTTTTCGGTTTTTTCTTTTTTTCTTTTTCGTTTTTTCGTTTTTCTTTTTTCATTTATTACCGTCCCCCTCTCCTTCCACTCCACCCAACTGCCCCCGTCATTCTTATTATCGTTACTTTCCTTTCTTCTCTCTCCTACAGATCTTCTCCTTCCCTCCAATCCTCCTGTCGCTTCTCCGCATTGATCACTCCCCACTGTGGCGTGGTAATCGAATCTCGCGATAGTCTCTCCCTTCGCCTGGAGCATTACTGCGGAATTGCCTAGGGTCCATTGATCGACTCTCAAGCCTAGACTCACTTTTTGAACCGTTGGCCAACGCCCGATTGATCATCACGAACCCTTATCACCGACTCTCAAGCGCCGTACGACCACTCTCGGGGGAGACGGCGACCCCGGAACACCAATCAACCACTCTAGCTTCTACCAATCCATACGCTTCGGATTGTGGCGTCGACACAATGCCTTTAACGACTCCGGTGCTCACCGTGGACGCGGACAACATTCACAAGGTGGATACCGCCAACGCTCAAAGCCTCCATGGCATGTGGATGGGTAAGTGGCGAGTGCATGAGCCGCGTCTCCCACGTGCTAATCCAGTGACAGTCTTCTCCAAATGTGCCGACTATATGGACCAGGGCCGTCGCCTCGAAAACCTCAGCTGGCGTCTGTGGACGCGGGAAACCTTCTGTGTCGAGCCTGGGAAAAACAAAACCACCTCCCCTCGGCCAGTGCTACGATCTGAAAACGGGGATCTGCCGGAACTCTCCGCCAGTGTGGAATCGGCCGCGTCCGACCAAGCCGAGCGGATCGAAGCTCACATCAAACGCCCCAAGTTCTCTGACTACCGACCGGCCGTCGTCCGCGAGGATTCAATGGCCAGCCTGGGCCGGGGCAAGGAGAAGCACATCACCTCGCTCGATCTGGAGCGCATGGTCCTCAACATCAAGGAAAAGAAGCACCTAGAGCCCATGAGCTCTCCCGTCGAGCCTGCTGCGCCCGTCGTTGACATCACTCCTCGCCCATCCACTCCGACTCCCACTCCCCCCACCGCCCGACGAGTCCCCCACTTCACTCGATCGCTACCTTACAACCACGAGTCTACCGAGTCTTGCTCTACCACCGCCCCCGAGGGCAATGACAGCGACACAGCACAGGTTAACCACGCGTCCGACACCAGCGTTTCTTCCTCGGGTGTGCTTCCCAGTCGGCCCGAGATGATCAAGTCTCCCAGCATTGTGCGGGGCTTCTCGCCTTCTCAGATCTCTTCGTCCTTCCGCTCACAACCCAGACTTTCCATTGACCCGAGTCCTTCCCGTTCGGCCACTCAAATGAAGCCGTCCCCGTTGAAGAAGAGGGGTGGCATGTTTACATTGGGCGGCTCCTCTGGAGATGATGACGAGAGCTCCTTTGAAGAGCGCATGGCGCCTCAGGTGGCCCAGGAGAAAGCGACCGGTGGATTAAAACCCAAGAACAGCAATCCTAGCTCTACGAAAAAGACCGCCTCCTTCAGCAACCAGGTCTCGTCCCATATCATCCCCAACTCGAAGGACATCAGCCGCTCCGACGAGGACGCGATCGAGACCGACGATGAGGTATCAGAAAGTGCCATCGAGGACGACGAGGATTCTGATTGGGAGGACTCCGTGACGGAAGGTGGCGAGTCCAGTGTCGACGAGCGTGGGGAGATGTTCCAGCGGGTTGACTCCCGGCCAAACCTCGTTTCTCGCCGGTCGATGCTCACTATGATGATGCACCAGCCCAACCGGATGCAAGGAAGCGCATTCCGGTCCAGTCCGGCCCTTCAACGATCGCGGTTGACATCACCCAACGGCCCGTCCATGCCTCAATCCACCCCATCCAAGGAGGACGAAAGCTTGACCATGCGTGGCCCTGATGTGCCTCGATCCAAGCCCATTGGCATGAAGCCTGGGCCTGGACAGTCCATGGCCCACTCCCCGCGAACCACGCGTCGCAACATGCTCGCCACTGAATTGACCGAGTCGCTCCGCCGACACCTTCTCTGGGAACGCCAGCAGAAGAGCGCGACCGCCAATGCTTTCCTCAAGCGTCGTCACACCGCCCACGACATGAAGAATCTCCAGGAATACCCAGGCCCCAAGGGACCCCACAGCGGTGTCAGTCCCAACCAGGCCAGTGCGGAGGCCGACCCCAATGCCGCCAACTTTGACGTGGGCAAGAATGGCTCCTGGACCAACTATACCACCGACTACGGTCCATGGGAATACCATGTGAAAGGGTGGTAGTCGACTCTGCCGAACCTCATTTTAACGCGCCTTTCGAATTACCACAGGACTTGCTTTGCCTGCACCGCATCGCTTTCCATTGACACGTACGATTACGAACATGCATTGCATTTACGGCGCACATCTGGAATTTGTTTCTTTTCTCTTTTTCGCTTTCCACAGCTCCTGGGGCGGGCGGTGTTTCCAGAGCATTGACCGGGCGTTTATCCCGGGGCTTCCTGAAACATCGCCTCGGGGGCTCATTACCATACGACCATAATATCCCTCTGTACAGTTCATATTCCTCGACTAATCTCGGGCCACGGTTACTGAACCACGGGGTTTATTCTTTCGCCTTGCTCTCCAAAATACACCCAAGGGCTTTTTCTTACGACCGGGAACGTTCACCAAAAAAAAGGGGGGGGTTGTTTTTTCTCGTCTCAGCGCTGCGTCTCCTGCATTGTCATTATGACAGCACAAAACGCCCAGCATTTGTTTCCACCCTCGATTATTATCGAGATAGCTTTCTTCCCTGCGATACCTGATACCACTTTACGTCCTGCAATCCATCCGGCCTCTGATTCCCTGCGATCGAGCCACCTGTACGCTACCTGATGACAGCCAAAAACCAAAATCAAAAAACACCTAGCTCAAATCAAACGACTTCAGACAATACCTGTTTCCCTGTGCATATCGTATCTGTAGACACCAAATATCAGAAGATGAGGCTTGACGCCATGCATAGGTCTGAACTGGCGGTCTGGGTCCATGGGTATAGCTTGGAGCTCCAGGGCGCAAGCAGTACACGGAGGATCGGAGGTCCGCAGAAGGTTTTCCCAGGCGGTCATCCCTGCGACAACGGCGGCAGATAAATCATGTGGAAGTCCCTTGACTTTGTGGCGCTGACACGTATCAAAGTGAGGAGTCTATGGCTGATACTTGCAGCGCATTATCTAGGCACCGGTACGGTCAACTGGTATTTCGGGGTTCGCTAACATATGCTTATATCAAAGTACTCACGTCTATTAACTTTATCAGAGCCCTGGTGATTTCCCAGCAAGACCATAACCTTGAAAACATCCATGGATGGTAACTTCAGATGAGTCGAGTTTATAGTAGGTTATACCACCTGCCTAGACGAGTATAAGCACAGAGCTATGCGTTCATCAGCTCAGGCGGTCGTTTCAACCCTCGCAGATCAGCCAAAAGAAAATCTAAATCGGTCAGGTGGTACGAAAAAAAGAGGTACAGGGGGGGTAAAAAGCCCAACCGCCCGTTCGACCAAAGGCCTGGAAACTGGTCAAAAGTACGAAGTGCAGAAATCATATCACCTACTTCTGTACTCTGTATACTATGGTTCTTTATGCAATTGACCCATTTCAATGAACCAGCATTGAATAAATACCTCAATTAAACATCTAAATACCCGGATTCAATATCTAAAATAGCACACCCAAAATCCCCGAAATGTCCCTCGCATTGGTCGCTAGCACATGTCGCCCAAGCCCATGACATCTCTGTACATTAGTTCCTGCGACCAGAGCTTCCGCGGAACTCGGGAAGGGGGTGGGCTTGCATTCTGGGGCAATCGACTCGACATGATAAGCGCTCAGTCCACGGTGGCTTTTTGCTTTTGCATGATTTGCAGGGCCAGCTCATCGATCGGGGATCTGGGGGTTTGGAGTTTGCGAATTGGGCTGGAATTGGAGGGTCTAGGCCTGGACTGGATGTTTTATCTTTGAGGGCCCTGGGGGCTTTTTGTTTCTATGTGAAGTACGGAGTACGAAGGATAGTACTCGTACTATGAGTATATGATTGAGTTTGTCTTTGTCTACTCCGTCACCTCGGGAGAGAGTAATAGGGCAAGGGAGTAATAGGAAGTCGGTTCCGTTAAATACCTCATTATGACAGTCGATGGTCATCATTTTCTGCCTTCGCCTCCATGTCCAGCGCCTTATGGAGTATGGAGTAAGTCTCGAAGGATTGCAGGATTTCCGTCGATCTGGCAAGTATCGGCCGGTCAGAAGCGAACTGATGTCATATATTGGCAAAATGGCGAGACCTCGGTACGAAAGGCGAATATGCTTATTTCCTTAGGATGGTGCCTGAAGTATCCTCTTATGGTTGTATAACTAGTCCTACTGCTAGCCCTGTATCTAGTATAGTTGATAGTGTAGTTGACAGTCCCACTTATGTGGCAACTGCACATGACCGGCGCACATGATTCCGGGGGTGGAGTCGATGGGGCAACTTCAATTACGGAGTAGAATTCCCTCTTCTCTTTCTCTTACTCTTACATATGGACTCTGCTATGCAGAACAACCACTAAGTCTGCAATACTGTACTCTGCGCCCCCACGGCTGTCTCACATGACGTACAACTGCTTCATCGCGAAAGGGTGTGGGGGGTGACGAAATTTTCTCCTAAAACGCCCGATACCGTTTCCTTTCTAGGAACTGCTCCAACTCCTCCGGCCATGCCCGGCAAGTCGTGGGGCAAGAAAAGTCTTTACGGGGAAATGCACAGATCCAAAGTCACCAATGAGATGCACGTTACCAACCTGATGCCACAACTCGGAGACTCCAAGGGACAAACCCCAAGAACCTAGAAGATCCTCCCGCTCATCGCTCAAGCCTCTGCCGCGCTGAATACTAGCACCGCGAGCCGATTCAGGCCGTAAGCTAGATCAACAAAGGATGTTCATTGTACATAAATCTGTGTGCATCAAGCCGCTTCCATCTCCACATTCCACCCGGTTAGGGCTCAACTCCTGGCCAGAAGAGTCTTGATCTCAGCTCTCATGTGGATCGTGTAGTGGGTCAATCCTCAACCCAGGGACCGACATAATTCGCAGTCTCGTCTTCGCACGTCCCGTTAGCTCGTCTCACCGGTAACGAAAAATTCCTCCCCATCCTCTGTATACATGACAGCTTCGGTCTCCGCATTGCCTCTTTGGGATTCGATACATACACGGAGTACCATCCTCGCCTAGCGACTCCACGGACCTCTCCGCGATCAATCGACCTTGCAAGAAAAAACAGAAAACCGGAAAAAAGTGGATATCACCTTCCTTTCTGCAAGATTGACGCCTAACTGGTCTGTCGGGTTGGTGATGTGCGCCCGAGAGATAATCTCGGCATGCCGATGCAGGATGTACCATGTCTGACATATCGTGAACATGCGAAGTTATCGCATCTATGCACTCGAAAAGGCGTCGGCTTGTCTGACTGGATTGTGGCTGATTACGTGCAGCTTTGGCTTTACTCTGACTTTACTCTGTCTCGACTCGAGGCGACGGAGTGTCTCGAGCAGAATCAACGACTGTTTCTTGATCGTCCGTTCTCAGGTGATCGGCCTTGGTCCATCTCATCCCTGCTAAGGCCTTTTGGGCTCTAGAACCGACCCGATCTTCGTTTGCTAGACGGAGACTCCGGACGGAGTACGGAGGACATACTGTACGCATGATTCTATATTAAGCTGAGTGCAATATCTTGTTTCATGTCTGGTCATTTGTCAAATGCTGCGAGTATGGCGTATCACATTCGCGTACAGTATACTCTACTGCAATAGTAGACTGAATGCATCGATTGTTCGTTGACAATTACGAGTCATCCACGCTAGATATCACCAAAATAGCCAAACCATGGATTGGAATTGCCTCGGAGGCGATACACTGCCTTTGCTATGACTGTTCGGTGAAGTCCCGAATGAGGCGGAACTGGCCCTTGCGCGATTGAGATACCTGTTCTGAGAGAAAAAACACAACACAATTGTGGTGCCCGTGATTGGTGAAACCGATATTCTAGGCCTTGCAGTGGAGAGAATCACGTGGGTCCACTCTTCTACGGGGAGCTCTGTACTCCGAGACCCCGCAAGATGTTGAGATTCAATATACATGTAATTTTGTCGTCGTGCATTGCTTTGCAGTAAGGCAGTTCGCGAGATCCGAAACTGCCGCAGTTTCTTGACCCGAGAACAGTCCGCTCCAAGCCCATGGTCAAACGCGTCTAATTCCCAGGGAAGACCACTAACTTCTGGAAGGCTTCTGGAAGGACGATCCGGTTGGTCGGTGAGTTCGAGGTTCGATTCACGCCTTGCCGCATTGGGTGTATTGTGTGTGTATTACGCGCTAGTCCCGATTCGATAATTACCGACCTTCGATACCGGAGCGCAAGTCCAGCATGTACTCCGTATGGTATGATACCGAGGTTCAACTCTCTTCGAACCCCGTTAGCCCTGGAGTGCATGTATGTACAGTAGAAGGTTCTGAAGGTTTTGGCTTTGCAGCGATCTGCAAATGCCTTCGGTACTTGCCAGGGCAAGACAGGTGCAAACCGGGCATCCATGTGGGATGCTATATCTCAAACGAAAAGTATATCTCGTGACACAAGCCTCACTTTCCCGATGGCTTGGGCTGGAGGACCATCTAACTAGCGAAAGCCACAGGCAGGGATTATGCACGTAGTCCTGCAAATGACCTCGAGACTGCGCGAATACTATTTCCTTCAATCACGCCCCTGCTTGGGCTTGATACGGAGTAGACCTTCTATTGAATGGGCTACACTTGTTTCTGCGGATGTACTTCGTATCTGATACTTGATGTAGTACAATTACCTCGCACTGTCCAGTTCTCGGAATTACTCCACATGGATTGTTCCCGTTTTCACCCAAATCCAGTGACATTACTAAATATCGGAGTTTGTGCGGAGAAACTATTTGTGGGTTTTCATGAAGATTCTGTATAGTTCTAATTGCGATCGTAGACTTGTTTATAACACACAATTTAGAGTGGTCCACGATGACTTCACACGGATATGAAGTCATTGCATTCCACATTCACCTGGACAGTGCGCGAAAGCAATCGGTGACTCGATGTTGCATCCATTAACCGCGCACTGGAGGCGTTCCTGTCCAGGGATGCGGAGTGCCAGAAGCGAACCCCTCATCTCCAACCCCGTGACTCAATATATTGAATATCGGGTCGTATTACTCTCGGGGGTTGTTCCTTTGATGTAATTTCGACTTCGATCGGAGGGTTGTTACGGGACATAAGGCGTCCGCGATCGCTGCGTACGGTGGGATTGGAATCCGGGATCCTATTTCCTGCTTACTTTGGCCCCTTTCAGGGTTGGATTCCATGCAGTGGCGATATGCGAGCTTGCCAATCGGTGGAAGTTCTAGACGTAGTGCTTCTCGAAGGGGTGGTTACTGTTCCGGTTAGTGCGGGTGGCCTTGGGGGCAGGGGTAGCACGTCAATATTTGGTTGAGATTGACCAGGTTGATATCGGAGAGACCGAGAGATGTTTGTACAGAATACTCAGGCTACGGAGTAAAGTAGAGGGAGATATGCGGTGATCTCGGTTAATTTGAGACTATTCTATGCCGTGTCAAGGTTTTGAATAAGCTCTGTTTGATTTACTATAGTAAATTTGCCATCTCGATCAACAATACATTCAATAGCAGTGCAGATGAGTCAAAATCAACTGTTATGAGTCAAATGAAATCATCGGCCCCGCTCAAGTCTTGGCGACACTTCGATGTCTGTATAACTTCATCCCCTCGTCCCAGCCAGTCACGTGGCCCTGAACCTCCTCTCCGCATCTCGGCTTACTTACTTCGATCTCCTGTCGATCTTTTCAAGGTCACCCGATCTCTGCGTTGGCACTCACGTCACCTCACGGTCTGGATCGTCGAACCACAATGTCAGTTGACGGTCAGCTTCCAGGTGAGTTCGTTCTATTCTTGGGGGACTCGGAGCCTTTCGCCCCAATCAAGGCCCGGAGATCTACTCAGACGCTTCCCGTGGCTCTGGCTATCGTATCCCGTTGCACGTCCACATGTTGCATCTGCCCCCGCGAGGCGTGGGCGTTTAGGCCTTGCCAATAAGCCTGAGGATCTCGGCCCGCAACCTTTTTGATCACACGCTCATGCTTTTGAGGTACAGAGCTGCCATCGAGAGATGAGTTGGCAGCGGCCCGGTCGCCTGGCGTTGCATCCACCAATACGGCTCGCCAGTCGAGGCGGCAAGGCAAATGTCGTTTCTTCAAGACAAAAAAGGGTAAGTCTTCAATTTTTGAGTTCACTTGCTGTATGGAATCGCGCGGTCTAAATGGTGGACACGCTGGATTACCCGCTGTATTTCGGGTGCCACAAGTAGTCCATCCCAAAGGGGACTCGATGTATGCAATATCTCTCATGTCCTCCAGATGATACCGAGGTCAGGCCTATTGCACGATATGACTGGTCTCCAAGGTGTTACCGCGCACATATTTACATTCCAATAACCTGCCATGAATGCATGCGCTGCTCAGAACCAAGGCTGATGTTGCTATAGGCTGCCGTCTCGGCGCAGGGTGCCCGTATCTTCATGACACCTCAGCCACTGAAGCCAAAGAGCCGCCGTTAGAACAAGAAAGCTCCACTCAGGCGACTGATGATACCTCGACAGCGACTGAAAATATTGTGGCCGAGGCTCGGAACTTGTCCCTTGGTGGTACCACACCAACGCAAAGATCGACTCCCACAGTCTCTGTCCAACCCCAAAGGCCCGTATCTTCCATGGAGCAGTCAAACCCAAGAGAGTTCCAGGTCAACCAACTGCGGCGGCGTTATCGCCCACATGAGACCAATGATGATCAAGGCACGACGCTCACCTTCGGATTGGTCCCCTCGGATCCCGACTTCCCATTCGAGCTGGAAAGACTCCAGTGTGTACTGCGCGTCCCCAAGTCGTATCCACAAGGGCGCCCCACGCTTACAGTGACCAATTCTGAGATGGAAGCTGCATACCAAGCAAATGTGGCTCGTGGCTTTGACGATATCGTTGATTTTACGTATCGAACCAACGCCCGAGGGACCCTGCTAGGTTGGCTGAACAGTCTGGACAAGAAGCTCGAGCCTCTTCTCACAACCCTGGAGCGAGGACCAACGCTCAAGTTCTTCGCCAATGGCGGAGATGCGACGGCTTCCAAAGAGGGTAAGATCCCGGAGAAAGAGGGCCCGCCTAAGGTACCCCAGCCTGCACCAAAACCCGTTGTTGCTACGCCTCCACGCCAATCACAAACACGGAAAGTGGTACCCAACTATACTGCTGAAGCGAAAGCCACGGCTGAAAAGCGACGCGCGGCCGAGACAAAACAGCTCGAAGCGCGTCTTGGGAGACTTCCTATGTTTCAAAAAGTGGCGGACGGCAAGACATATGTCATTCCCATTCAGCCAACCAAAAGGGATCGCTTACCGAGAGCAATTCAAGCACTGAAGACTGTGAAGCTCAATGTGCCACAACTCTACCCGCTCCAGAACAGCTCGATCAAGTTGCAGGGAGTTGAAGGCGACGAGGCGAAAGCCACAGAACTTGGATTCACTCAATGGGTTGAACAGACTTCCCAGCTGAGTCTTGTATCTCAGATCAACTACCTCGCAAGTAATATCCACAAATTTGCCGAGACACCTCTTCCAGAGGCCGAAGATCCCGCTGTTGTGCCACCGGCGGAAGACGAAGAGGTCGAGGATCTCGATGAGCCATCTCAACCCGAAGAGACAATCCACGAAGACGAAGATCGACCGCATCTTCACGTCATTCCCCGTCCTCCTGAATGGTCAGTCCCAGATCCCAACAGTGGAGCCGAGGGAACATCCGACGAGTCCAGCTACGACGAAGACGATTTCTCAGAAGAGGACGAGGAAGGCGGTGCGCCTGTCCCTGCAGCAGTGGATAACAATGCTCCGGGACGAGGCGTTGCACTTTCATTCCCGTATTTGGAGCTTTACGGAATCGAGCTGCTGGAACTTACTACACTCAACGTCACTGTGAAATGTGATAGGTGTAAGGTCCCGGTGGATATCAAGAACGTGCCCCAGATTACAGACGAGAAGGGTCAAATGGCGAAGCAAGAATCTTGCAAAAAGTGCGCTAATAATATGAGTGTTGGTATGTACACGGCAGTGGCTTTTACTCGCGAGATACTGACATGTTATGCTCGAAGCTTTCCGGAGACAATTGATGCATTCCCATGCCAACCGTGCTGGCTATCTTGATCTTGATGGCTGCACTATTGGAGACATGCTGCTAAGGTGAGTTTTTGTCTTTATTCGCGCGATTGACTTTGGCTCACCTGAGATCTAGCGACTTCATCCCTACGTGTTCAGAATGCTCCACTGCCCATCCAGCACCCGGTGTGCCTGCAGTTCGTGGTGAGAGCGCAATGGCCATTTGCCGCCAGTGTCACCGTAAAATGGGTAAGAGCCAAATGTGATATGCTTCTGCGTTTGCCTCTAACCACTTGTTTCGCAGTTTTCAAAGTCCCAGAGGTGAAGTTCTTGTTGGTGGGAAGTGCAACAAGTAAGTTTATACCGCTACATCCTCATGGGTTTATTTGCTCATCATTCTCTCAGTCTCTGCTCGTGGTGCCCTTCCGCTCAAGAGAAAGGTTCGTCATTCTACATTAAACAACAAAAACCAAGTACTTACCCCCGATCCAGCCCCAAGAAGTCCTCGGTATTGTTGCAGGACAAGAGCTTCCACGTCGTGGTCGCTGCCAGCATTATGCCAAAAGTCAACGTTGGTTCAGGTTCGTAATCCAGATGGGTATCAAGATACGCGTTCTAACTTTCCACAGATTCAGCTGCTGCTCTAAAGTCTTCCCCTGTGACAAGTACGTTCCCATTTACTGTGATATGGCTTGTGCACATGCTTATGTTTTCTAGGTGTCACGATGCGGAAACCGATCATCCAAATGAGCATGCTAATCGGATGATTTGTGGATATTGCTCGCGCGAGCAGATTTATAGACCCGAAAACTGTGGTATTTGCAAAGCCATCCTTATTGGAAAGGCAGGTAGTGGGTTCTGGGAAGGTGGAAAGGGAACGAGAAACCGTGCCCTGATGAGTCGGAAAGGTAGGCTTGGTGCACTCCTGATCTCAAATTAAGTCATGGAAATACTGACATACTGCTAGATCCGCGAAAGTTCAAGCGTGTTGGGGGGAATGCTCCTACTTCTAAGACTTCGAAACGGAAGTGATCCGGTTTGAGCGAGGAGAGTAAATTTGTGGGCGTGGTGACGATACCCACTTCCATTAGCTGTGACAGCCTGATTCACTTGTCTTGGTGCGCCATCTTGAAGAATCTTCAAAGCAATACACCGGCCAAGTGGCAGATTCCTTCTGCTATGCCGGAAAGTGATAGAAGCGTGACCTCCGTCTGAAATTATGTCCAGCTTCCCGGGTTCTTGATTCAAGAGATTATCACCTAGTATAGGATATTACTCTAAAGAGAAAGCTCACACACGGGAAACAGTCCACGGGTTGAGCTATCACATATTGAACTCAAGCTAGAAAGTGTCACTTTCGAAGGCTTCCCACCTGGCATGACTCCAACCAGCCCAGCTGAAATGAAAATTTTTCATAGGAATTTTATTCTCGAAATCGCTAAAATCACAATATGTACGAGCAACATAACTTATTTTCAAAGACAGTCTTCTCTCCGAGTCCATGTCCACTAGATCAAATTCCCACGCAGCTCCTGTTCCCGTTCAATAGCCTCGAACAACGACTTGAAGTTACCTGCTCCGAAGCCTTCGAAGTTGTGTCGTTGAATGATCTCAAGGAAGACTGTAGGTCGGTCCAGAACGTGCTATTCCAAAGATCAGTCTCAATCAATTCCCCAATTCCTGAATTCCACATACCTTAGTGAACAACTGCAAGAGATAGCCACCTTCGTCAAAGTCGATCAAGATATCCAGACTGCGAATCGTCTCGAAGTCTTCCTTTAGCTTGAGACCGGATTGCTTAAGTCGGATTTGGATGTCCTCGTAGTATGAGGCAGGGACCTTGATGAATTCAACACCCCGTGCCTTCAAGTTGGTGATATCACGAATGATGTTGTCAGTCTGAAGAGCGATGTGCTGCACACCGGCGCCGTTGTAGAAGTCCACATATTCTTCAATCTGGGACTGCTTCTTTCCCTTGGCGGGTTCGTTGATGGGCATTTTGACGATCTCGTTGGGCGATGCCATGACAACACTCTTCAGAGCAGAGAATTCACTAATTGGGTCAGTCGGTGTCAAGGAGTGTTTTCATAAACAGTTACTCACGTGCAAACCTGGCTGTCGTCGACGGACCAGAAACGATGGAAACCAAGAGCCTTCTCGTAGCTAGAGTCCGGTGTCAGTACTGCGTTCCTCGGGGATAGTGAATACCACTTACTACTCGCAGATCTCATCCATCTCATCCCAGTCCTGGTTTCCAACACAATGATCGATTCTTCCGAGTTGAACATCGGGCAGGAACTTCAGAATGGGATCATCATTTCCGGCCTCGGCGCGATATCCAGGCAAGAAAGCGCCACGGTACTGACTGCGCTCGATGAGGGTGTGGGTAGTTTCTCCATAAGTCTGGATAGTCGCAGTCTTGACGTATCCATGCTTATCCTCCAGGATTCTGGGGCGAGTTACAGCCCTGGCGCCATTGCTCACAGCAGCAAAGAAGACAGCATCGACATCATCAACTTCGAAAGCAACATCTTTAACTGCGTCGCCGTGCTTCTCGTAATGTTCGTGAATTTCACGCAGCTCGGCTTGCTCTTCGGCGCTGAATCGGTCGAGCTGGTCTAGTGACCGCAGCGGGGAGCTAAGGATGAAAGTGATGTCTCCGTTTCTGATAACATGGGAGCAAATGTTGCGGTGGTTTGTCTCTAGGCCTTTGTAGGCTACGCGCTTGAAGCCCATGCGCGTGATGTAGAAGGTGGCGGCTTGCTTGGCGTTGCCGACGTACCAGTGGACATGGTCATAGCCGCGGTAGCTTGATGCTGGAGAGTTGTCCACAATAGTGGATGATGATGGTGGTGTACTGGAAAGAGCTGAAGGTGCCATTTTGATATGCAGTGAACTGATGCTCAAGATGATTGAAGAAGGTGTGAATGATATTAAGCAAATCTACGCCACGCTTCTCTTTTAAGTCTAAATGAAAGTACCCCCAGTACCCGATCTAGCTCTCGGGTATCTTGCAACTTTGATGCCATCGACGGCCCGGCTATTCCAGGATCCTGCAATAGCCGGAAATACCCGGCGATCATCAACATCCGCGCATCACTTTGCATCTCTTTCGATTTCCAATTCCTCTTCTTTCATTGTTCTGTCTCAAATCACTTTCTCTATTCTAATCTACCTACTCTTCCCGTCGCAAGTGGTAGCTCCCAGATCCTGAAATTCAAAGTCCATCATGACATCCATCACCCCAGCTCGACCATCATTAACCTCTAATGATTCGGCCGTACTCCAAGCTCTCTTCGATGCTGAGTCTTCTCCCTCATCAGGAATCAAAATCAATTCCTCTCTTCCATCCTGGCCTGCATCCCTGAACATCTCCGAATCCGACCTACCATCCCTCAAGCAGCGCGAATCAGAAATAATCCGCAAAATACAAGGAGACGAATCACCCAGCCAAGAAACCGTCTCATCAGCATTGACTGAATTCGATAACCTCATCCTTAACAACAAAACATACCCATCCGCATACATAAACCGAGCCCAAGCTCTCCGTCTCCTAGTCGACCTGATCCACAACAAAGAAACTGGAAACAGCGAAGTCCCCAACACCGAAATTCAAGACGGCGCTCTATTCTCACCTCAAACCTCCCAACTATGTTCCCGGATTTTCTCAGACTTAGGCCAAGCCATCACGCTTGCCACGCCTGCTTCTCCGGCCGATGCTGTATCAAGTGTGCAAGCGCGTCTTTTGGCGGACGCGCACACGCACCGGGGGTACTTGCTTCTGAAGGCGGCGAGGGCTAAGAAGGCATGCTCTGGGGATGAGAACGCTGGTCCCGAACGATTGCGGGGACTTGGATCTGAGCAGCTGGAAGAAATGGCTAGTCAGGACTTTTTCTTTGGTGGTCGTTATGGAAATAAGGTTGCGCAGCAGCTTGCTGTGCAGACGAATCCGTATGCTAAGATGTGTGGGTCGATTGTGAAGGAGGCCTTGAGGAAGGAACTTGAAGGGTGATTAGTAGATATTTCGTGAGAAGCAATGCAATCAGACTGCTTAGATGAAGTTGAATCTTGATTTAGAGCCGTTGTGCTGAGTAAATCAGTGGTGTTGACATTTGGTTCTATCGTAGAGTTGAAAAATAAGGACAAGGTTATTTCCGCTATCCGATAATTCCGCTATTTGACAAATTGTATTTTCCTAATTGACATACTGAATTGAGTTCCCGCTCAAGCCTTCTTGTTAGGGTTCACGAAATGGCGCTTCAATGGCGTCCAGCTATGCTGGTTATACTCCGGCTGCACCTTCTGGCACTGCTTCAAGCCCCACTCCGAAACACCGACCATGAGGGAGCTAGATGAATTGTCAGTGTGTACAATAGACAGAGAAGATCTAGAACCCACCTTTCAAACATGAAAGCCATACTACCATCTCCCACTTTAGCAGGCTTCAACTCTGCATTGCTAGCTCCCTCGAAAGCACCCGAGTCCGGACCATGAGCACTCATAACATTGTGCAAACTTGCACCAGCAGGCTGGAAGCCACCACCAACCTTCGCATCGTAATCACCGGCAATCAACCCCATGAACTCCGACATTGTGTTCCGGTGGTACCACGGTGGGCGGAATGTCCCCTCAGCCACCAACCAACGGGGAGGGAAGATGACGAAGTCCGCAATGGCTGTGCCGACGTGGTCCGATGGGCCTGTCAGGACAGTGAAAATGGAGGGATCGGGGTGATCAAATGAAATGGAGCCGATGGTGTTGAACCGCCCCAAGTCGTACTTGTATGGATAGTAATTTCCATGCCAAGCGACAACATCGAACGGAGTGTGGTTCTGTCGGGCGGCAAAAAGAGTGTTATTGAACTTGCTGTACAGCTTGTACTCGCTTTCCTCTTCGTCGTCGAAATCGGCTACGGGGGCTTGGAAGTCGCGCGCATTGGCGAGACCATTGGAGCCGATGGGTCCTAGCTCGGGGAGCTCGTAGTGACCCTGGTATAGTTCGCAAATGTACCCACGTACGGGGCCGTCTGGAAGTGTAACTCGGTATCTGAAGAATTCAGTAAATAGATCTTTTCGGCAGTGTTGACTCTTACTCACCTCACACCACGAGGGATGACGCAAATCTCATTCGGTCGCAGAATAATACGACCGAGCTCGGTTTGGATGTCCAGCACACCGTGCTGGGGGACGATCAGGAAGTCACCATCAGCAGAATAAAAGGCTTCCTTGCCCATATCCTTGCCAGCCGCATACATCAGGATTCCCAATCCTTGTTTCAGAGTTGGGTCCCCCGATCCTGCGATCAGATGTAATCCATGGACCCAGTCCACCTTTTCGTCCAGATCGAATGGATTCCATCGCAGCTGGTTTGGAATATGGTGAAGCTTGTGAGTCTCCGTTGTCATGCTGGTGTGGTATGAGTCGACATCTTCGGCGATGAAGTTCTCATGGGCCGCCGCTGGTAGAATGCGATACACCCATGTCTGTTTGTTCTCGCGGCGAGGAGCGGTGAAGGCCGTGCCTGAGAGCTTCTCCGTGTACAGCCCGTATGGAGCTTTCTGTGGAGAGTTCTGACCGACTGGAAGGGCTCCTTCGATTGCTTCACTCCTGTCGGCTTGTTAATACCTTATTGTTGGGCTGAGCCAGGTCCACAGGGGAGAGCAACTACATACTCGTGATGCGAGTCGAAGCCCGTCTGGTACTTGTACGGATCAGGATACTTGAAATTGGTGACCGGCATTGTGAGATATGTGCTCATGTGCTGCTCAATCGATAATTGCGTCTTTAAAGGCCGACGCAGCCCACGATCAAACGTCACCGCGGATGGAAATTCCCGCGATTATCCACGCCTTCCGCGCCGGAATGCGGGGGAGCGGACGGATTCCGCACTGCGCCGGGTAAATAATTCGTCTACTTCGCAGCTCTCAGGGAGTTTTTTTCCTTTCACATCACTTTCATCATGGCATCCTGGCTCCAGATCCCTAAGAACTCGCCCTTTTCGCTGGCCAACATCCCGTTCGGCATCATCTCGGCGCAGTCGGCATCAAAAGTAGCCGCAATCGCCATTGGTGATCATGCGCTGAACTTGAGCGCGTTCGCCTCGTCAGGGGGCTTTTCACAACTTCCAGCAATTCAGCAGCATCTTGCAGTCTTCAGCCAACCGACATTGAATGAATTTGCCGCTCTGGGTCGTCCTGTGCACCGCGAGGTGCGCGAGTACCTGCAGAACGTCTTCCGCGCCGACACACAATTCCCTCAGATCTTGAAGGATAATGCTTCATTGCAGAAGTCGGCGCTGCTGCCCCTGTCTCAGGTCACCAATCATGTTCCCATGCAGATTGGCGACTACACCGATTTCTATGCCGGTCTGAACCACGCCTATAACATTGGAGTCCTGTTCCGCGGCCCGGACAACGCCCTCCAGCCTAACTACAAGCATTTGCCTGTTGCGTACCACGGCCGTGCATCTTCAGTGGTTCCTTCCGGTACACCTCTTCACCGTCCTCAAGGCCAAATCCTGGCCAACCCAGCCGCCGATCCTAAAGTCCCTACCTTCTCCCCTTGCAAGAAGCTCGACATTGAATTGGAACTTGCATGCTTCATCAGCAAGCCCAATGACCTTGGAAAGCCCGTTCCCATCGACGAGGCCGAAGACCACATCTTCGGTCTGGTACTCATGAACGACTGGTCCGCTCGTGACATCCAAGCCTGGGAATACGTTCCCCTGGGCCCCTTCAATGCCAAGAACTTCGGCACCACTATCACCCCCTGGGTAGTCCTGATTGATGCTCTGGAACCATTCCGCGCCCCCGGCCTGGAGCCGGGTAACCGCGACTCTCTCCTGCCTTACTTGCGCGAAAAGCGCGCCGAGAACGGGTACGAAATTCCTCTCGATGTGGAGGTCACCAACCAAGGTGGTCAGCCTACTGTTATTTCTAAGAGCAATGCTCGCAACTTGCTCTATTCTTTCCCTCAGATGGTCGCTCATCACACTATCACGGGTTGCAACCTGCGTACTGGTGACTTGCTTGGGTCTGGTACCATTTCCGGTACTGAGGCGAAGACTCAGGGTAGCTTCTTGGAGCAGACTAATGGTAAGACTCCATTGAAGTTGGCGGATGGCTCTGAGCGCATGTTCCTGGAGGATGGTGATACAGTCACTCTCCGTGGAATGGCGGGCACAGAGGGCAACTATGTTGGCTTTGGCGACTGTGTCGGCACCATCTTGCCTGCTGTTTCTCTGCAGTAGATTATAAAAATCAATGATTCATGTGATATACATTATCTTCACTCTTACTAGGTACATAGTCTCGCGAACAATAGAAATTCTTGCAGATATTGACAGTCTCCAGGAACTCAGCCCAAACTCGGAACTTCCAAGGTTGGAAGATCAATATATTCTTCTGGCTCCTTAGGTACTATAACTAGCCTTAGGTACAACCTCACCGAAGGTCCTCGGGGGTATCCTCCTGAGTCTTCCAATGACCAAGCCTAACTGCCTCCTCTTTCTCCAAATTCTTCACAATCGAATTCGTCACAGGGAACAGCCCAATATCCACCCCAACCCTCTCGGCAGCCCAAGCAGCCGGAATCAAACACACATCAGCCAACGTGATCTGATCCCCAACGCTGAATCTACCCGACGACCTAGCAACAACAGCCTCATAAGCCCTGAACCCATCCTCAAACAACTCCTTCGACCACCCCGCTCGATCCGCACCCAACGGAGCAACCCGCTTGAGAATCCTCAAGTTCGTCACAGGCTGGATATCACACCCGATTATCTGCGCCAAGGTGCGCACCAGAGCGCGACCCTCTGCGTCCGAGACTGGAGGTAGCAGGGCCGGGCCCTCTGGGAATGCTTCATCGAGGTACTCAAGTGCTGCGAGTGACTGGGTGATTGTTATGGGGTCTTGGGAATCACGCTCGATGACGAGGGCGGGAACCGTGCCGGATGGGTTGATGGCTAGGTGGGCTGGGGATGATTGTTCGCCTTTCAGGAGGTTCACGTAGACTGGCTTGAAGGGGATGTTCTTTAGATGGAGGGCTATGCGTAGTCGGGCGGAGCAGGAGGACCGGAAATAGGTGTGTAGGGTTACTGTGTCTGGCATTTTGATGATGCGATTGTCTTCTATTCCACGGTTCGAAAGGTGTAGATGTGTAGATGTGTGATGGAGAGGGTACCTAGCTAATTCCACGATTGCCTTGGATCATACGGATATACCTTACCAGCAGCGGATCTTGTCTGCCGTGGGAGTCGTATAGATGCAGTGCGGAAGGCATTCCGCGGGCTATGGACCGAGTTCAAGCGCTGCTCATTTCCGCGGCTCTCGGACTTCTGCTTCGCATATGAGGTGCTCGCTTTCTCTGCGTCACCCCACACCGCATGTTCGTGATCTGCTGCACATAATCCAGCCTTGGAGGGCTTTATGGAGTACATCGTCCCCGGCTTCTTATAAGTGGGTGCCTTGGTTCTCAGGCATCACTGTCAGACGGAGACGGTCACTTCCCAGCTTGTCCCTGTCTTGTATTGAAGTAGAACATTTCAATGGCTTTGAGTTGCCCTGGGCTATATCTCATATTCTTATGCTCCGTACCTGCTCAGCTGGTGTTGCAGTCAGGTCCAGGGCTATTGGCCACTTGAGCATGGGCCATCAATATCCCCCAGCCATGCATAAAGCCATGTCATTCAAGAACTCAGTCTACTCAGTAATTGCCTCTCTGCCAATCCCATGAATGTCGTATCCATTAGCAATGCGTGGACGGTGAAGGTCCGATCCTCATACAAAGAGCTAGGGCGGGGCGGGGCGGCTACCGCCGGCTAATTATCCCGTTGCATCTCACAGTCACCTCCCTATGCCATGAGTATCACCGATATCCACAGAATCCACCACCCCTGAATCCGCCCAGGAACGGTTGACGATGGATGGTGTCAGGCCATCCCGCCCGGAGAAGCCGTACCAGCGCACCTACAAGGCCTGCATTCCCTGCCGGCAACGCAAGGCCAAATGCGACCTAGGAACCGGCCCAGACGGCCTTCCGATCGGCCCACCATGCGCGCGCTGCCGAAGAGAACTGCGCGAATGCGTCTTCCCCGAGAAGCGCGCCTGGGAAAGGTCCCGCAAACGAGGTGCGAATTCAATTTGTTGACAATTCGGCGGTATCTAACTGGTTGTAGCCCGGTCACCTGAGAACTATGAGCCTGATTCTTCACCCCGGCATGTGGCACAGCTGACGGCGACGGAGGACTCGATTCGTGCTCAGGGTCGCACTCACTTTCGTCGCACGAGTGAATTGAGTAACCCGGAGGTGAATAACTTTCAACGGTCGCCTGATTTGCAATCGGGGTGGTCTTATCCGAATGGCATTTCGCCGTCTGGTCATAGCTCTATTGATCGCAATGGGGTTGTTGAGTCCCCGGCGGATCCGTCACCGGCGCATTCATACGAGAATACGAAGCATCGGTCGAATTCTTCGCTGTCGAATTCGATGATGCGGACGGTGGTTGCGAGTGGGAATGATGCATTGAACATTCTCTTCGAGGCAGCTACCGCTCAAGAGGATAGTCATACTGATAACAGTCCTGAATCCGTCACTGGGGCGCCATCAACGGGCCCTAGTAATGCTCTTACCCCTGGGAATTATGATGCGGCCTTTGAGCCAATCACCCGTGTAATACGACCAGTCCAGCTATCCAATGCTAGTCAAGACACTCTCAATATATGGGAGGCTTGTCGCTTCGTCAAGATGGGCTGGTTCACAGCGAGGGAAGCTGTCACCTTCGTAGACCTGTCAGTCTCGTGGTTTCAACTCATCTTATGTTTGCATGCTAACTCGGTAATAGATTCTACAAGAACATGTCGTGTCTATCGCCGATTCTCACAGACTTTTACGCCAATCATCGCTATCACTATTGGCTCATCACTCGGGAACCAGTCCTTTGTTGCACCATCCTTATGATATCCTCTCGCTATCATGTCCTTCCAGGGGCTGGGGGAGAGTCAAGAAACTTCTTCATTCACCATCGTCTCTGGCAGCATTGCCAACAGCTAACCATGAGGCTGATATTCGGGCAAGAAAAGTCCACCAAATCTAAAGTCCGAAGCCTTGGTACTGTAGAGGCACTTCTTCTAATTTCAGAATGGCATCCACGGTCACTACATTTCCCACCTGAGACCGATGGCTGGGATGATGATTTGATACCCACGGCACCCAGAAACCATGAAGTCAATGAGTCAAACTCGGCGCCTACCAATCACTGGGTAGAAGATATGATCGAGCCCGCCAGACGGTCAGACCAAATGTCTTGGATGTTACTCGGATGCGCACTGTCTCTCGCTCACGAGCTCGGAATCTTCGAAACAGAAGAGAGCAGCTCACCAGCTGAGGAACCAGAATGGAGAGATCAGATGACACTCCGCTGGCAGCGTGTCCAGCGCCTTCTATACGTGTACATCAACCAGCTAGCCTGGCGAATTGGCTGCATGTCCCCGATCCCCCAGTCATTGAACCACGCTATTCTGGGTGGTCGCAAACCACAAGGCCTTAGTCCGCCCGGCAGCACCTGGCTCACCTTCATGGATTCCTGGATCGAGCTAACCAAGCTCGCCAAGTCCGTGACAGACATGTTCTTCCCATCTGCTGCCTTCGCACGCCAGCAACTGCATAGCGGTCGCTATGTAGGGCTGCTAGATCATTTCCGACCACTCCTAGACCAATGGAAAGACAAATTCCTACAGCCGCAGGTCCTCGACAAAGCATTCTTCAACGACCTCTTCATCGAATACCACTTCGTCCGCGTATACACCCACTCAGTCGGGATGCAAGCCGTGGTCGAGCGAGCCGTTGCAGAAAACGACATCAACAACTTCGACGAAGTCCGACCCATGACCATCAACCCAACAGACTACGAATACATCCAAGAAGTAATCGACGGATGTTGTCAGATCCTCCAAAAAGTAACCCACCTCGCAGATGCAGGCGCATTACGATTCTCACCCGTGCGCATCGTCCTCCGCATTACCAGCGCCTCCATCTTCCTAATGAAAGCACTCAGCCTTGGAACACGACAGGCGAAGCTGCAGGAATCTCTCGAGATCCTAGAAAAGAGCATCAAAGCACTCAAGTCGAATGCGTTAGACGATGTCCATCTGAGTACTCGGTACGCCACGCTTCTGGGCCTGCATGTATCGCGATTGCGTCGGAATCTACTAGCTTCGTCTCGAGCTGTTCGGAATAGCCGCGCCGGGACGCGCAGGTCGTCGATGGGGCCTCCGTCTTGGCCTGAGGGTCGCCCGCAGACCATGAATAATCCTGTGTCGCAGGAGCCGGCGCCGGATCTGGGGTTCATTCCATCTTTGAATGATATAAGTGCGGATGACTGGCTGTCTTTGCCGTTTGATCCTTCCATGGCGCCTTTTGGGATGGGGAATAGTGGACAGTTTCCCATGTATGAGGGCGGTGCGTTGGATTTTATATGGAATTTACCTTCGTGATGGGTACTGTGGCAGTACTCTTCCAAGGTTGTATGGGCTGGGGCCTTGATGTACTATTTGAAAGCGTGATACCCATTGGCAAATTCAAGGCCAGCCAGAATTTATGTGCCCCAAGATGGTCCAAGATGATCAAAAGTAGTTTCGTATTATGCAATATTTATGCGTTAATGTACAGTAGTCTATCATTTGTTAATGCTTTTTGCAGAATGGAGAGGCAGATTTGGGGACTGGGGCCCGAGAACCAGGCGAGGGACTATCTGCAGGACGAGCCTGCCATCCGAGCACGATAGTCCCAGCGCATATGTGGTGGTTTTCGATATGAAAGCGCGAGGGAGAAAGAGAAAGGTCCGGAACTCCAATGCCGCATGATGATGCCCCGAGCTAAACACGAAAAAGATTCTCAATGCGAGATGGTATGAAGCGAGGAATTAAATGGATGAAAAATGTAGGCGATCGCAAATGGCGGCAATGTGTCGAATGAAGAGTCGAAGATGAGGAACGAAGTCGAGTATTTAGGCAAGTGCCTTCTGTTCGGACGGAGGAAGGGGAGGGAGTTCGAGTTTGGTGTTATCGGCCATCATGCGCTGGAATCCAATACCGACACCTTCAATGACAGCCAAGAAGACAGCACACATAATGGCCGAGTTGCGAGCCGCCTTGACACCACCACGGATGGCCAGGGAGCCACCAGTGAGGAAACCAGCACTGATCGCGTTCCAGGGATCTTCCTTTTTGCGAATGCCCTTGATAGCGCAGTCGTACTTGGAGCTGTTAGCAATGGCCGTGCAGTGAAGGGACATCGGAACATACTGTGCTGAAAAGACCACCCCAGACACCGAAGTTACCACCCAGAACGGGAGCGCGAGCCTTGATGGCTGTGAGGGCGCCGATCCGACGCTCGCCGTAGGGACTGTTGCGGAAGCCTTTGATACCATGCCAGACGGAACCTCCGATCGCCTGTGAAAGTATCAGTTTATCAGTTGCTTTGGCGCGTTGAATGTGAGACGTACACCCATGCAGAAAGCACCGCCGAAGTCGCTCAGGGCGACATATGGACAAGGGTCGCGAGTGTGATCCATTATGAAGGATTGAGGTGAAAAATAGAGAATGACAGATGGTCAACAATGGAGTTGAAGGTGAAGCTGGAATCGCGATAAGCGGACTTTTTCTTATCTGCAATCAACAGAGTCACGTGCCCGGTCGCCACCGACATATCGGGGACTTCAGGAGTTGCACATCCAATGGCATCTGGTGAACGGACCTGGGGTTTATTTCGAGACTCGGGATGGAGGTGCCGGGCAGAGTTTTCGCTGATTCTCGGGATACCCTTGCATACTCAAGCAACAGACCTGGTCTGGATGTGTTCGATCCGTTGAGGGTGACCTCTGTGGTCCTTCGTATTTTCGCCCTTTCTGCGTCCAGTGCCTTTAGGTGTACATTCATAATCTTCTCGCACGGTTTTCCAGGGTTTGAATCACTACTAGTACTCGTAACTTGGAAAGGTCGCTGGCATTTTGTCTATCAGGTTGACCTCTCCGGCTGCTGTCACCCATGTATATATATCGGGTCGACCATAAAGTGGACCACAATGTCACACTTGCAAGGTTCTTCAGTGTTAAAGTCCAATCTCAACTTGAACGGTGTAAAATGTACTCAAATATCCATACAATTTCAAAAATTTCAAGTTGTATGAAGTTAAACATTGAAGCCATGTACTAGTGCATTCGATGTTCGTGGATCAAAAACCCACTATTTACTCCGGACTTGACTTCCCCCGCACTCCACAGCATCTTTTCCCTCGCACTCCCTCCCGAGGTCCAACCTTGGAAGATTCTCACGATGACTGCTTTACAAACTCTGATAAATCACGGAAGTACAGGAATTATCCGACCTACACGCACACCACTATTGTATCAAGCCAGGACACGATGGCACCTGCTCCCGAGGCCCCAATCTGAGGCATGGGTCTGAATGTTGACCTCACGCGCCAAACATCAGTCGACTGTGCGGTTCTCCACATGGCCCCCAAGGCATTCCCAAGCTCGCACCGCAGCCTCTCAAAAGTCCGAGATCCCGTGAATGTGCTCTCTTTCGGGCCGCTGAATGCCTACTCGACCGACAAGGCCACGGATCCTCCCTTGTGTACACCAATTGGCATATCGTGACCAAATCCTCTGAACCGACGAGACACACACGAGAGCTCGTATAATACTGCGATTGGCCTTGTGAGAGGGCGTTCAGGTGGCCACTACAATACAGGCCAAGTCACCACAATCGGGATCCACAGCGGAAGGCAATGGGCGACGGGGAAGGGCTTCCCATCGCTACAATGTCTACTCCACAACCCGACCATCTGTGTTTGATGCCAACCCCCGTGTGATGAATGCTTTGCCTTAGCCGACCGGGGACGAGACATCAAAAGTCGCAAAAAGAAAGGTTTGTCAGGGGAAGATCGCTCGTTCTCTATCCGCCCTTCCGGAATGTCAATGTGGGTCATTCCCGAGTCAACCCAGATTTTGCAAAAAGAAACTCCGATAGGGGGAATCGAACCCCCGGCTGTCGTGTGAGAGACGACGATGTTAGCCACTACACCATATCGGACTGGCATGGTAAGTCTAAATTTAGTTGAACTATAAACTTTGGACGTAGCTCTCGATTCTTCCAAGGTTGTGATATTGACCCTACCTCGAACTCCATTACCTATACGGAGTACATCCACTCCAATTGCTCTACGATACTATGGTATTTGATTGTGTTCTCTCATTTACAGCATACAAACTCACCGTCAAAGCCAATTTAGACGGCTTAAGCGAAAATCCAGACATCCAAAAATCAATGAATCATATCAGCCATGCCCGAGACAGGCTACATAGAATCTTTGATTGACCAAATCCAATGACCAACGCAATAGGCCATTTTCCAATCAGCACCATAACGGCACGGTCCAATGAATAGCATACCATCACGTGCTATTCGGAAACAGTCAGCCCCTTACGCTTTTTCGTTTCTTCCTGTCTTTCCTTCTCCCCCCTTTTTGTTCCATCTAGATCTTCAATAATCATGAATGGGGATCCTGTTCTTTTAAAACCCGAAGGTACCCTACGCACCATTACGTTTGGAGGCTCCGGGGGCATCCATGAAGATTCCAACCATCAAGTCCTGAAGGCACCTCTCAAACATAACACCCAAGGGTGCAGTCAAGACGTGCTTGCATATGTTGCAGGAACTGAAGAGTATTCTGAGGAGTCCATTGCCCGTGAAAAACTTATCTATCAATCTTTACCAAACAACGACCCCAATATTTTGAAATGCCAGGGTATCACCGAAAGAGGAATCCAGTTCCCTTTTTTACAACATGGCGATATCCGAACCTATCTCAAATCCCATTCGATTGATACGGCGACGAAAGATAGGTGGATTCAAATTGCGATTGACGCGGTCATCACCATTCATGCATGTGGTGTTATTCACTGCGACATTAGTCCGCGTAACTTTCTCGTTAGCGATGATCTTTCAATCCAAATGTGTGATTTTGCAGGATCCCAAATCAACGGCCTTAAGTGGTTAGCCGAGGAAGAAACTCGATACAGGCTACCATCGACTCCCTCTTGTCCTCGGAGCATTATCTCTGATCTTTTCGCGCTTGGTTCCTTCATATACGAGATTTCTACGGGTAAATGTCCTTTTCCCGAGCTGGACGATGATGAAATTGAGAAGCGATACGCCTCCCAAATATTTCCATCTCTGGATACCCTCAAATACGGAAAGGTTATATCAAAGTGCTGGAGGTTGCAGTATCCAACAGCGGAAACGTTGAAGAGCGACATTCGCCATCTCCGCAAGCCTTCGACCCCAGAAACAAATGAGGTCACATCCTCATTCCAAGGTTGATTTGTTGTACTCTTACTATGCTTAGCTTTGGATTTACTTTTTGGGTATGGGTGAGGCAAAATAGATAAAAGAGTTCATGATGTATTAGTTTTTAACACCTACCTACATTGTTTACGACTTTTATCAATGTCGCTCAGGGTTAGATTCATCCTTTCACATTATACCTTCACGTCATATTGAAGTTTACTTATAGGCTCAAACCTGCTGAGCAAGTAATCGCCGCTTCCAAAGTTCCTTATACGACATCACACAATGTCGCCTGTTTAGGTGGTACCCTGGAACGACTGGCAAACGATGCGTAGACGTGAAGGCTGCAGAAATGGTGCCTTAAGACCGGAACTATCGCTGGTTCCGCTATCAATTCTCATGAAGGACGTTTACATAAACTTAGGAGCAAAAAGAAATTAAAAGGAGTACGCGGAAGCAAGAAGTGTATGCTGCGTATACCCATGCAGGCTGAGAGATCCAAACATTGCAAATCAGCGCCAAGAAGCATCCCGCCATAAGCGCCCAGCTTTAATTCTTTCACAACCGCTGATCCTTCATCCTTACACCTAACACAAAATAACAACAGCAAGGTACGACATGTCGATCGCCACAGTCACCAAAACGGGAAAAGTGTCCCAACATGGTCTCGAGTGGGTCGAAAAAACATTCGGCCTTGAGCCGCGATGGACCGTTGAGCCTCAAATTGAACATATCAAGCAGACAGTGAAGTCATTCCGGCCATCTAGTACGATTGAGGTGACTTTCCTCACCCAAGGCGCATTCAACAAGCTCTATGACGTGAAGATAGACAACGAGACATTCATCATACGAATCTCCTTACCTGTCGACCCGTCCCACGAAGTCGCCAGTGAAGTGGCAACGATGGATTGGATACACCGCACCACTAGCCTTCCAATCCCTAGAGTCATAAGCTATCAATCATCGGCAGACAACCAAATCGGATTTGAATGGATTCTTATGACAAGAATGCCTGGAAAGCCCTTGGCTGATGTCTGGAAGTCCTTTTCCATTCCCTTCAACGTGAAATCCCGCCTAGTCAAGGAGTTAGCAGCAAACATGGCCTGTATTTTCCGAAACCAGCTACAAGGAATTGGAAATCTACACAGAAGATCGCTTACACCTGAAGGATCGCAATCGGATGAACAAACAAGCCCCACTAGAAATCCCGATACAGCAGGAACAGCTAGCCTAGCTGAGAGCGCGTCTAACGATTCTAGCGGTAGCTCTTGGGATGTGGGCCAAATTGTCTCCATGCAGTTCTTCTGGGGCTACCATATCCACCAGAATGTTTACCGAGGCCCATTTCAATCCAGTAAAGATTGGCTACTATCTCGTCTGGCCCTAAATGAAAATGACTGTCAGTCAACTCTGGAGAAGCATGCAGCCAAAGATACCGAAGACCTTGATAGCGACGATGAATCCGAGGTGGAAGATGCAACAAGCGCGCTCAAAAGAATCGAAAGGCTCAAATCAATTCTTCCTCTGTTTTTCCCAATGAGTAGTGATTCGGGATTTTCGAAACCATCAGTCATGGAGCCGTCCGTCCTTTCACACGATGACCTTTCGAGACACAATATCCTTGTCGATGAGAGCGGAAATCTGACTGCAGTCCTAGACTGGGAGTGTGTTTCAGCACTACCTTTGTGGAAGAGTTGTTATTATCCTCAATTATACAAGGGCGCCCCCGTCGATGAGAGCCTGATCGCAGCAACTATTGGAGTGACCCTGATGATACTACCAATGACGACCCCCCTGATCTCTATCTTCAAGACCTTTGGGAATATCAAACCACGCTCTTACGAGATGTTTTCATTGATGAGATGAAACTTCTGGATCCGGAATGGGTGACAGTCTTCAACGAGAGCGTCGGCAAACGAGATTTCGAATTCGCGGTTCACTATTGCGATGATGAGTGGCAAGCGGGTTGGATTGACTCATGGCTGGATGACATTGCCCATGGTGGTCTAGAGGGTCTGCACGGTCTACAGGATAGAAAAGAACAAGAGCAACTTCGACTCCTTAACCTCTAAGGAGGAAGAGCGAATACCGAAGATCACATCCACTACCCCGTCCTCCGTAGTATATTTGTCAATTAGCTGTGAGCGGCATCTATTGTGACCGCAATGTACATGATAGTTTCAATGTTTGCATACACCAAGGCGTACTGCGACCATCGCCCCACTTTTATACTTTAATGTCAAGATCGCCGTTTCTAGCAAGTGACCATCGGGATGAGCTCTGATATTACTGTGTTGAAGTGAGTTGACCAAAAGACCAAAACTGGAAAAGGAAAAGTGTGCGGTTCGAGCTAGGGATTTGAAACCTCTGAAAGTTTGGCAAAAAATGAGCAGCTTCTCGTTGCGTGTCGGTAACCTTGCCAACTCCACAGTATCAGATCGGTCTTCTTTCCCCCCTTCTGTCCTCTCCAAGTGCCCCCAAAAGCTACTTTCTGTCAAGGCTGTGTAGAATTGTGCCCAAGAAAACTAGGAGTCGATGCTCAAGGACCCTGTATCATCGGCTAATTCATCCTGTCTTATGACAGTCCACTCTCCATTCTGAAGATTGAATTCCAGTTCGTATAAGGCTTCCTCATCACCGTTATACTCGTGGACCAACTCGAGATTTGGCTCATCGAAGTGGCCCATGAACTCCAAGTCTAATTTCAACCGAGACCCCGGCTGGAGTGACTCACGGACCTGAATGACAAAAGGCTCTGCTCGGGCTATGCGTCTGCTGCCTTCCAATCTCACCGACTGGAGATACGTCATCGGAGTACCATCAGTATCCACCCCAGTAGCAGTCAAGCGGTGCCTATCTTCTTCCTGTGTCTCAACTTTGACCATAAGGCGGCGTCGTTGAACGAACGGGGGTATCGGAAAACCAAGCTTTTCCATCACTTTTGTCATCAGCAGGTCCGCCTCAGAAAATATCCTGAGGTCTGTCAAATGGTCGATGGGTGTTGTTTGAAGGTTGCAAACTGCAAGCTTGGCTCCCTTTCTCTCGCCAACCATCTCCGGGATACTGTTGGCCGGGGTGACAGTAAGCGAGGAGCCCAGAACAAGGCACAGATCAGCCATCTCTGCATTCTGCTGGGCTAGCTCCATAGCTTGAGCCGGTAGACTCTCTCCGAAATTGATAATGGAGTCGTATAAGGCGCCACCACAGCGAGCGCATTTCCGCGTTGTGCGATGGTCGTGATCGCCTTTCTCATAGTTCGACACGGCGCGGAAGTCTGCATCACGGAAATGAGAGGATTGAACAGCCACGTAGAAAACCCGCATTACCTCGAATGTATTCCTTGCCACAATCGTGGCAGGACTCTCGGTTGCTGCTCCCATGGAGCTCTGAGATCCTCTCCTAGACAGTGTCAGTCAATATAATACACCCGGTGATCTGATAGCATACAGGTAAGATGCCACTTCGCCGGTGAAGCCCATCGCAATTCTGACTGACGAGGTACTTCAGGATGCCACGATTCTGAAGCTCCACCAGCGCCATATGCGACGGCGTTGGGATAGCTGTCAGTGTGTCTGCGTGCTTGGTGCGAGGCCTCCCCTGGGCCCTAAGTGTCCAGTTGCCATTGGGGCCGCGAAAATCGGGAATTCCTGTGAATCGAATTGAGCGCGTTGACTTGCTTTGGGTCTCATATTTGCAAAGTACCGGCAGAAGTTGAGATGCCAGCACCGGTGAATGCGATAAAATGCTGGCTCTGTTTGATTTGTTTGACTAGCAGCGCAGCCTTTTTGCCAACCACGCTGGCTGCTTCGCGGCACTCTGTCGCGGCAATTTTGGGGGCGCTGTCGGCCATTTTTGATTACGGTGGAGAGTAGGTATCACCAGAGTTCATATTTGAGTCAGAAGATCCTGATCGATTAGTGAGGAGGGACCAAGCGGTGATAACAATTTCAGACATCTAGGGGCAAGTCTGCCTTGGCCCCGGGGGCCAGGGGCGGGCCCGCGGGCGGGCTGATCTTTACCTAATGCCCGACCCGGGCACGTGCACCTGGGCGTAGGCAACATGTGAATGGAAGATCACTACTGCGATGGATTTGACTTAAAGATGTAAATGATAATGGTAAATCATTCTGTTTATATGCATGTGAGGTCTTGAATTGCTCTTGCCCCTGCGTCCCCACTCTTATCCTTGCGACTAGGTGCTTCTATATCCGGGAATATGAATATGATACCTAGGTACCTCTACTCTTCACATTCCGAATAATTCTCCAGGGCTATCTGATATGAATAGCTGATAAATAAATAGCAGATAAATGGGCAGTCGACCTACGGGAGTCAAGGAGAGACAACTGGGAAGACACAGGGCAACTGCGATGGAAACCATATAAGCCTCACCCCCACCTTCTTTGTTCAAGTGACTCTTTATGACTTCACTTTCATTTGAATGTGATTTCTTACAAACAAGCTGATCAAGAGAGCGATCAAAGATGCATCTTTATTCGATTAAGGATCATCACATCGACAAAGACATCCGCGAAACCGAAATTCAAACGAAACCGAGATTTAAGCGACAAGACGTCTAAAGTAAAACGAGGACTACGACTCAATCAAATGGGAGTCAATTGACGAAAACCACCAATACTTGGGACGAAGAAGCTCCACAACCTGCACAACGTTCACTGAGTACATGCATACGAGTCCCTCGGGGGCTGTGAGATTCAAAAGAGCTCGACTGAATGGGTAGCTTTTCAACAGTCTGAACGAAGATTGCGCTGGTCGACGTCACTGAGCAGATGTGGATGAGAGGATACCAGTGAAGCCGGGCGCTGCCCAGTGAGTTACCAAAACTGAATGGGTATACGAAAACCCTCAGAAGACCGTGCCATCCGCGATTCGGAAGACCTTTGTTCGAATCCTCCTCTCCTCCTCTTCTTCGTGCTGACCATGTTCTTCATTGGTCTCGTCGTTCCCTATGATAACCCTAGACTCGCCACCACCACAGCCAATCCGCGCGACCGGGCAGATCATTGACCAATTTCAGGACCGTTTACACTCAGAAGGCAAGAAGTGATACTGCATCACGTACCGCTATTTCGGCAAAAGGGTGGAGACTAATAGATGGGGACGGGGACGCGTGGGAAAGACCCACCCAAAACCCTCATCGAAACGATCGTCCAGTGGGTAGATCGCACGCCAATAATGATCGTACATGTGGTGATATGTGCGATAAGATATTCCCTAGCGATGTCATGTATACGCCTTTAGGAGAAATGGGCGTCACACATGATTGGCTGGTATGTTCAATGCCCACCTATCTCCTATTGCGTGACATTGATGACAAGAAAGTGCTTTCTGAAAAAAAGCCATGAAACTGAACTAAGAATCCAACAAGACTGACTATGCAGTAACTTTTGATTCTCATTAACGTCAATGTAATCAACTTTCATCTCATCCCGTCCCGCGATGACGACTGCACAGAAAGTGAGTATAAAAATCACTGAGTGAGACCATGTCTTACGGTGCTCTCTGTCCTCAGACAACACACCTTGCTTCAGCTTATGAAGCTACCCAAAAAAACATTCAATCTACTTACACCAACACGGACTTGACGACTCCCCAAGGAACAGATTGCTAGGTGAATTACCAAAGCTCTCTGCCAATGAAGCCCACCAACTACTAGCTACTTGCAGTAATAGCTCAAGACCGTCACTTGCGAAATGGGCCCGACACAAGAAGTCAAAATGGATTCTCGGAGGTCTCAATATGAATCTCTCAAAGATGACAAAGACACGATATAAGCAATACCCCCAAACAAAGAATAGCTGCGAGGCTCTACATGCCAGCATCCATCGTGTTACTGGAATTAAGTGATCACTTCGTGAGGCTGTTGCAAGGTATGATTAGTTATTAGTATTGACTAATTATTACAAATAGTTACTAATAATTCTTTTTTAGTGCCGAATCTTTTGATCGACGTACACTCTCAGAACTCCAAGCACATCTAGCTTCAGGTATACTACCAACATCCCGACATTCCATATCAACTCCTAAACGACAAATTCAACATGAAGTCTCAGGTATATTATATTCTATTTATCCCGTTATTACTAGAAATTACTAATAGTTTTTAGATGAAGATGAGATAGAAATGGATGATCTACTTATTCCTCCAAGTCGTCGAAGGAAAATACGCCAAAATACATCTCAAGATCATGAACAGCTTTCAGAGGCTAGCTCTCCACAAACAGGTAATAACTGAAAGACATCAGTTATAACTAGTAGCTAATAATACTTTTAGATCACACACCAATCCCTACACGCGGACGAGGTCGTCCACGGGTTGAACATGGATGGTGCCCTACCACTATTGACACGCACAACAACTGATATTCGCTCATACACCAAGTATGGCATGGGAAATGCAATTGATTAAGCTACTGTAGTAGCTTCTACGGGAAGAAAGATAAATTCTCCTCTCAAAAGACAATGAAGAGAATGGGAAACAGAGGGCGAGCAACGCCCAGAGGCAGTTATTGTGATGAGAGCAAGAGTCCGTGCAGGCTTACTGCATAGTCCCACGGTTTGGCTATCCCAGAATCACGCCTGATGTGGTTCAGGTCGAGGTGGCCTTTGAAGAGGTGGCAAGAGGATCATGCATTCTGATTCTCAAGGTGCCTGTTGAGATCTGGGCGACGCTTCCGCTGGGATACCCCGCCCACATCATCGCAAATGTGAGCTCTAGGAACGGTCTGAATAGTACTTGATCGGAATCCCCAAGCCCTATCTCGTGCCGGATGACTCATTACGGCTCGAAACCATGCTTTGTCTGTATGGCTAAGAACAAACCTTGACGCAGGGTGAGTGAATCCGCATATTATCGTAACCGTTTCGACTGACAGTTCATAGCTGCCTGCGCTCGTGGTAGAGCACCGGTTTGACCTGCTCCCCACGGCATCCTGCTTTGGGGAACGGACCCTGGGACCCTCATGGGAAATAATCTGGCCTCGAATCGCTGGGTGAAATCTGAATTTGCCTTATCAATACTACTACCACCACAGCCGATTCCATATGAAGCCGATCAACTACACAGCGATGTTGTATCGACTCAGCTTCAATTTGATAGCACACAGAGAGCAATATCACCCGATGAGATTAAGCTCTACTGCTGGGCTCTGTCACAAGGTGTGCCCCAAGAAGGTTATACAGGTCTATTGGAACGCTTAACTTCCTCAGAGACTGCCCCAATGTCCCTTCAACACTTGACTCGAAATATGATAACTTTGAAGTGCACATACCCTGTCAAAAGGCTGTCTAATGTTTTTAGTTTTCCCTCACCAAATCAACCATTATTTTTCAAAACATCAAAAAATGCCCAAATTACGCGCGTTTGACACCAAGATGTCGGGAAATCGCGGTAAGCGCGATGAATTACCAATTCATATACGATCTGCCATATCGACAGCGGTTGAAAAACACGAAAAACCTGCCCAAATCGCATGCGATTTTGGCGTTTCCAGAACCACCGTTTATAACACCATGAAACGCTGGAATACCGAAAAATCATTGGAATCCCGGGCCCGAACTGGTGCTTGACCTCGATTTCACCGTGACAGAATCTGTCTTCGGCAGGAGAAAGACTTGCGACTCTTCAAATATGGGTTTGAATGATGATGAGTACGACTAAAAAACGGCGCTAGTAGTCGTTTCCAACTTGGCCACTATTACTCCGTATTGACTATTCATTTCGCTCCAGTATTGGTTTCAGCATTGTATTTTAAAATACAGAGCCCCAGGCTTGGCGCTCCGGTGAATCAGCATAGCCCTGGATTATTCTTGGCAGCTCGCGTATTCTAGTCCCCCACAGCCCTCAGAATCGAAGCTACTATTCGCACCCCAACGTCTTGGACACAATTCACCTCACTGGCGCTGCCCCTGAAGCTATTCCAACCCCCGTTTTTAATCCCAAACAGCTATGCCAGCATGTTTACTTATCCCCAATTAGGAAAGAGAGGCTGATTCTCCAAACGCTTTCAAATGCATTGAACTGAGATATCAAGAGGCGGTATCCCCCATTTGTTGGCTTTATAGGTGCAGTCCATCGATAGAATATGGATAGAGGTGAGCGGTAATTGGCTTGTTAGGTTTGAGGTTTCACCTACATACCAACCAAGCCCTTACCTGTCTTTTCTTTATCCACCCTATATTCTATGGATAGACTGCACCTACAAAACCAACAAATGGGAGATATTGATTCTTAATATTGTGGGCTCATCATCAACTAACCAAACTTTCTTCGCTGGACATACCCTTCTCACCCGTGAGAACGAGATCGCATATACCCAAGTACTTCATCGGCTAAGAGAGATCTATCTGGGCTTTAAGGCCAATAAAGAGCCCCCTAGTATTATTCGCAATACTACGGAGTAGGGATACCAATACCGGAGCGAAATGAATAGCTGATAATAGTGGCCAAGTTGGAACAAACTGCCAGCGCCGTTATTTTAGTCGAAATCGCGTTTTTTTAGTTGTTCTCTAGATCGATTGAGTTCCAAGGTTGAGGACTAAGGGACGCAACTCAGTTGTTGAGGTACGGAGATAGAGTTTCCAAGGTCCACGGTTGCGACAATATTTACCATGGAAACAGGCCCGAGACTGATTCCAAGTTCGTACTTCTCTACTTTCGGGGTCGGGGCTTGAAGTAAATCAGCGTGTATATCCTACACATGTGCAGGGCGCGAACTTTCATGAAACCCCTTACATTCCCCCAACAACAGATCTCAAAGACCAAAAAGGTCTTCTCTATCATGGATCGAAGACCACAACCGAGTTCTTTCGACCCCTTGGGACGAGGTGACATGATAGACGGGGACAAGGACGAGGCCGAAATCGCACACGAACGAAATGGGAAATTCAATGCCCTCCAAAGATATCGATACAAGAGCTATTGGTCAAATCCCAAAGATGCTCATGTTTCAGCGCAACTTCTTGACACAGAGGAAGATCTGAGAGAACTCGTCCAGGAGGAGCTATCCATCAAAGATGGCCCGGCTACACGGGAAACCGAGAAGAGGCTGCACGTCCTTAATACTCAATACTGGCATTTATCCCAACAGTGGTGGCGATTACGTTCGGATTTAGCGCCTCTTCAATTGAGGTCGTTTATTCAATGGCGGGCACAACCTATCTGGTACATGCACCGTGAACTCGTTGAAGATTGTGCAGGTCGACAAGGCTGCTGTGCTCGTGGGTGTGGTTGCTGTCTAGATCGAAAGCTCGGTCCGTCACGCAGCCTTGGGGTTGGGCATTGTACGGTTGAATGTGCATGCTGTCGAGAAGCGAGAGGTTTCGAGCTTTCTGCTCAAGAGAAATGGAGGCTGAAGAAGCAGTTCAAGATGGATCTTCCGAAAGAAACCGGCCGCATAAGCAAAATGGAGTGCGTTTCAATCTGGGGCTTGTGTTCTAATGAATGGGGGAATCCTTGTGAATTGATTGATGCTCCACCGAGATATATCCATGTTGAAAAGGACAAAAGGGGGCCTGAAGAAGAAATGAATGACTCAAGCAAAGGATCCGGACATGAGACTTAATTCAATTTTATCATGTTCTACGAAGTACTCCGTACAAATCTGTTCGTTGTAGATCATTATGATGGATACGATGGAGGACTCGATGGAGCAGAGAATACATTTTATGACGCCACAAGCAAGGGATCAAGATGCAGTTTTCCTTTGTCCCATCGCACTAAGTCAGCTGTAAGAAGTGTTTTTAACATAGAAAATCTACCGATAACTTGGGTTTGTGAACATCGTCTATTTGGAAATAAAATTTGATGGTACTGACATGTCAATAAGGGGAACCAAAGGTTGTAGATTCACGAAGAACAACGTTGTGGCCGGCTCCTAGACCAGTGTAACCCAGAGTATCACATCCTTCGATGCGGTTGATATCCTTAAGCCAGTCAACACATGTGTCATAGAACATCTCGATGGTGAATTTCGCGGTGAATTTGTCGCAATCGGTCTTCTGTAAGGCATCCCGCTTGATGCGCATAGTTTGTTCAAGATGGGGTAAAGCCTCAAGATCATTGAGGATCTTCATCGCGGAATAGAAGGGTGGGATATTGCAGTCGAGGTCATCCATCTTCTTATGCCAGGTCTGGACCGCATTGACAAACTGGATGGAGCTTCCAAAGTCCGATCGACGAAGCGAAGACCATTTGTTGAACACCCTATCAGTGGCGAACATGCCTTCTCCCCGAAATCTTTTCCTCAATTCTTTCATGAAACGGTCTGCTAACATAGTCTCGTTATTGAAACCTCGTATATTTGAAGCAAGGTCATCGTCCATGCAGCTCTGAATCCACGATTGTACTCCCAAAGACATGAAATACCACTTTTTGCTGTCAGGGTGGTTTCTCATAGGACGTTTGCACTCTATCTCGATGAGATTGGACAGTTGGTTGTATTGCAGGACTTGGCAGATCTTCTGGTGCCATTCTTCGAAGTCGGCATTCGAAGTAAGCTTTGGCGTGATTTGGTACAGGGAATAGCTGCCCTCAGCCGGAAGGCCTTCAGATTGGTCGGCATAAAGGGTATGATTGGCCTGGGCCTGAATGACTTTAGACCAGTCGTTAGATTCTTCAGCCCCAGGGCCACCAAAGAGGATTTCCACAGCGTGGGTAGGGCTCAGGTCGGGGGCGGACATGGTTGCCCTGGTTTGTATGTATGTAGGAGACGCGATATTTAGCGGTAAGGGCGACGTCCGATTGGCTCGTCAGGGATGGAAGTGGATGATCCTGGACGAATGATGGTCGAGGATCGGGTAAAACAATGACTGTTTTTGGTCGGAAAAGCAGGGTACGGGATACGTCCCTTGGCAAAGTAGATGCTTAAAGAGGAAATCGTGATAATCAAGAAAGAACGGACGTCATAACCTGATCTGATCCTGACTACTGCAAGAAACAGGAACGGATAGGCGGAGAGGATTGGTTCTAGGGAGGGAGGGGGGGGGGGAGAGAGAGAGAGAGAGTTAAGAACTGAGAGAAACCTTGGAAATAGAGAGGAGAGCTTAGTACGCTACCTACACATGGGATGGCACATGCCCATCAACCATTCCAACAGAAACATTCAAATATGATCTGTTCATACTGCGAAGAACACGGGCTAAAGCAATGAGACCTTGACTAAAAGAGTGTGTTTTGTCTTTTCTTTAAATATACAGCCGGTAAATCATGCTTTCAAACTCGCTGACAAGCCGTCTCGCCACATGGTTCATGAACATGACCAAATTGATGGCGGCGACTGCCAGCATAGCTGTGAATATAACTCAAAGAACCCCATTATACCCGATCTTTTCGTAGACCTGGAAGTTTGCTTCCACGATAGAGCCGATATCTGGCTCTCCGCCCGTTCTTTTGTCATCGATCGGGTGGTGGTGGTGGTATTATTTTACGCCTTTGCGGGCAGTAGGCTCCGCCTACCGTCCATAACCTCCCGTGGGGTATTTAGGCGTGTCACGCTATGGAATTATATACAAAGGTAAGCCCGTAGATGACAACTCTAGCTAATGCGGGCTATCGCCCTTCCGACTGCTATCCCTCCCGACGTGTAGATTATTTGCAGGTATTGTAGCTGTCGATGGGGGCGGGGCCCCAGTGTTGCGGTGTGCAGGCACCTGAGCTTTCGGAGCCGGTTAGGCGAAGCATGGTTTTTGGGACTTTTCTGTGATAAGGAGAGGAGGGTAAAAGAGGGTAGTTGAGCGCGAAAAACAAAAATAAATTTTGAAAAGAAGGAGATTATTGCCTCACCTGGCGAAGTCCGCTGGCGATAGTCTGGTAAGATATCGTATGGCGGAGCCATTATTGGAGGGCTTTGTGGGGGGCCGGTCGGGCCAGGTTGTGAAGAGCTGTTGGGTTCGGGAGCAAAGTGCTATGTGTTCAGGGCTCTTGTTGCGGCCACAGGAGCAGCGGAGCTCCGCATCTTCATGATTGGAGCGCTGGTGATACCAGTGGAAGTCCCCGTGGGACGACCGGATTGTGCGCCAGCGATGGAGCACTAGGTATTACTCTGGGTAGACTGAGCTGTGGTAGCAGGTGCACCTGAGTCGAATGGTGAACCTTTGGCACCGCATGCCAGCCAGGGGAGATACAGTAACAGTCCGATGATAGGAAACAATCCACGTAGTGTTCTTCCAGCATTCAGCATCATTGTGTCCACCTTTGCGGCAGCGGTGGCACCACTTCTGTATTTGAAAAGAACCTCGTAAGAGGTGTCCGCCCAGAGCCGATACCAGCTGGATAGCTTAGGGGAGACCGAGTCTCACCATTCAAGGCGTGCTGTCTTGCGCATCTGGCGGAAGATCGACCTGATCCCGCTGACGGTCGGTTGCGATTCAGGGCCCGCGGTCGGGGTGTCATCGATCGGGGGGGCCTCGGAAAATTTCATCCTCGAGGGCAAGGGGAGAGTTTTCATGGACATTGTTGGTACGACGTTTTGATATTCAGAATGAATTTGATAATTTTTCAATTTGATTCAATGTTATTCTTCAATTTGATACAACAGGAATATAAGTCCACGGGTAGCTCTGTGGACTTCAATTGGAAAGAGCAAATGGAAGGAAGGTGCAAATAAGAGAATGTGCTGAGGGGTGAATGGCAACCGTCTCGAAGACTCAGTTCATAGCGATTGATGAGTCCTGATTGATTGAGTCGTAGGTACATATTGGTTGAATATTGGGTGAAGACATCAGCCTCCGCCTTCGTGAACTCTTTCAGAATAGTCTCCTCATGTCGCTCTGATCTCGGAATGACCTTGCATCCAAATGGCTTTGGACAAACGAGGAAGCCCTCTGTATACCCTGTGACCGGATCCGTATCAATCTCCATGGGGTTACCCATCGAATCCACTTGCTGCTCAAAACGGAACGCCCAAAGTAGTTTTGCAGCACCAAGAAACAAGCTGCGCTCGGATAAATGAATACCGGGACATATCCTTCGACCGACTCCATAGCTGTAATGGTCGCGATTGGTATAGTCTGAGGAGGCAGCGTATTCTGCGGATAATTTCGTGCGGCCTTCATAGCGGTCTGGGTTAAACGAAGCGGAGTCTGGTGATTCATCGTGATGAAGGCCCCACACATTGAGGAATGTGATTGTGTTTTGGGGAAGAAAGTATCCGTTGATCCAAGTATCTTCGGTGGTGAAATGTGGGATTCCAAGAGGCGCGACAGGTCGCCAGCGCATAGCTTCTTTGACGATCATCATGATGTACGGCAGTTGGGAAAAGTCTGCCCAAGTAGGTGATCGGCTATCACCGCAGACTGCGTCGAGCTGTTGTTGGGCTTTGGATTGGATTTCCGGATGAAGGATCATCGCCTGAATCAAGACAAGCAAGGCAGTCGACCCTGTATCGGATCCACCTTCGATCATGACCCCACCTAAAAAGTCAACTTGATGGTCATCAAGCCCCAAAGTCTCTTGCTTGTCAAGAATATGATCAATAAAACAAGGATTCGTGTTCTTTTCATTCGCGCTTTGTCGTCTTGCAACAACTCGTTGCCGTAGGTCTTTGTATAGCGTCTCCATCAATCGACCGACTTCGCTCGCTCGAAATTTCCAATTTCCGAAGACACGCTGTGGTAAATATTTCAGGATGGGCAAAATGTCCACCGGAGGCGTAGCCCCAATCTCCATTACCTCAGTCCATCGCTCCATCAAATTGTATAGATCAACCATATGGGATGAGTCCCATGACTTTGTACGGATTCCGAACATCAAACTCATGATGATGCTGTTCGTAGTGCGCTTTGTGTGCACCATGTGTTGTTCGGGATGCAATAAGAAGTCCCTCATCATCTGGGTATGCTCTGCTTCCAAAAGCTCTATGTGCTGCTTCTCGCACACTGACTCCATGAACTGTTGGTGTATCATCTTTCGACGCTGTTGCCAGGCCCGGTTATGGTTCATCATGAGGAGGTGGTCACCGCCAGTGATCAGGACCTGAGATACATATGATGGGGGTCTGGAGCTGGAAATACCGCTCCTCTTATCAAAGAGTTCTCTCACAATAGAACGGTCGGTAACGACCACTGCAGGGGCAGGACCGATTCGCAAACTGAAGATTCCGCCGTATTGTTGGGCCCATTTGGTGAACAGGAGGTGGGCGCGGGTTTTGGGGATATGTGTTATGTTTCCTAGAAGAGGCAGACGAGGAGGACCTACTGTCATAAGTCGCTAGCCAAAGTGGGATTGCTTCGTAGCCTGTTACTTACCGGGAGGCAATTTCCGATCTAATTCTCGCTCCGAGATGAGGGCTCTGACGGTCAATGCCAGCCCGACGATGAATGCAAATCCCAAAAATTGAAAAATTGCCATTGTAGTTGTCTTTTTCGGAAAGAAGAGAAGACTCTTGCAATACTCGAGTGTTGTGGAGCGAAGAAGAGGCACGCCGGTCGGGCTCATCTCAAGTGGGGCGGCCCCCGGAATATGGTATTAATGCCTCAGGCAGTAACATTCCACAGGGAGGCTTCCCCTCTTCCTCTTCCTCTCCCTCTTTCTTTTTTCCTCTCTCCTCCGATTCAGGGCTGCTTTAGAGATAAATTGCTTCCCTCTCGGTTTCTATCCTTTGAGCACGCCTTGTCCCAGTCCTTCTTGGCTCTTGGGCTCCACCTGGGCAGTTCGTCCCATCGTATAATGGTGATTACTACGTCTCTGATTGGTTGATCACTTAGTGGACCTTCCCGAGGTCGTTCCGTCCCGCAGATCGTCCCCACTCTCCACTGAGCTGTCGCCGCTTCAACGGCGATGAGACATGGCGCGAGTCGAAGGGAGGCTCAGAAGGCCGTGGGCTTGCTGAGACGAATCAACTGGACCCCTGAGGTGAAATTTGCCGAGGAGCAAATGGGAGCTAATCCCAAAGCGGTTTAGTCAGTTTGTTCTGGTCCCCTAGGTCATGTGACTCGATAACCCTCGAGGTCCCAATCTCGGGAGTCATCCGAGTCAACTTCCAGGTTGGAACCTGTCGCTCTTTGATGTTAAGTGCCGGGCAGCTTAATGCACATGAGGCTCTCAACTCCGAGAGGACCAAGGTTTTTTTGGAGACCCCGGCATGGTGGGAGCGATGGGGCTAGCGCTTACCTGGGCTCCGTTAGCGAGATTGGGTGCCTGGGGGTTGGCCCAAAGAGGTTAGCACCTGGTTTCCTGGGGTCAAATCGACCACTTCTTTCGACGTTCACTCTCCTCCAGCTCACAAGTTTACCATCATACCGCGAACACCATGTCGCAAGTCACGGAAGACACCCCTCTGCTTTCCGACCCTACAGCAGATGAATCAGGGTCCCCACACGATGAGCAACTTGAGTCCACCGTGGCAAGGCATCAACAACGATGCGCTGTAGCCATCTTCATCCTGACATGGCTGTCCGCAATATTAGATATCGTTCTCATCGTGTTATATGGGCTGATGATAGCCATCCACAAGAGCGGATTCGGGAAGCCCATACCGTGGGAACAAGATATAATTTTGAATGGTCTCATTTTTGCAGTATGTATCGATCTCACACATATAAGAGCCCTTCACCTGGACTATGAGCAGCTGACAGTAGCGAAAACAGCTGATGTTTGCTGAACTTATCTGCTTCCTGAACCTGGCTTGTCTATATGCCCGAGGCCAAACGATGTGGATTTGGTTGAATTTGATATTCGACTTATTGATCGCTTATGTCTCGATTATCGGTAGCGCATATGGCCTCCAGGACTGGGGATATGAATCAGGAGGAATTGTATGGGTTATCGGTCAAATCCTATGTGGCCTCGGTATTATACTCGGGTAAGTCGTTTTGATTATCTCACTTGTGCTCTTTTGAATGCGAATGAACACATGCCGCGTATCCAGACTCTCTCACGTGGCCCTCTTCTTTGTGAGATGCTTCCTGGCATTCACCTACCGACCCTGGCGGGGATATCGCAATTGGAAATTCCCCTCAGGACTCGTCAGTATCGAGGTCAAGATTCAATTCCTTCGACAGCAGGAAGCTCCCGAGACATCGCTCGAGGCTGCCACTTCTGGCAACGGCCCCCAAGAACAGGCAGTGGCACAGACTTTTTGAGGGGATGTCTGTTCAATGTGCATCAGGCACCTCATATATTGAGGTGATGGACTACGCAAAGTGTTGGCAATGATATCCAGGGCTGGACTTAAAATCCGAACATGCTAGGGGCATGGCATCTGGACGGGGAAGATTCCTCCCCCTGACTGCATGTAGATTTTGGCGCTATCTATGCCTTGTCAGTGCTTTTTTGGTTCTAGTGAATAGAAAATGCATGGATATTGGCCAATGGTACGGAATAATGACGCTGTTAACTCCCCCAAAGTGTCGCATCTACAGCCTCAAGCATCAATGAACCAATCACCTTTTAAGGTTGGCATCGAACCTTTCCGCAAATATTCCGTTGGCCTACCTCTTACAACCTTCCGCTACTCGCTCCACCTGGCCACACTCATCTGAGGCGAGCTGAACGATTTCCACCTTCCATTTGCTGTCATGTCCATGTCTCGTCCCGGTGATTTTGATCATCTCATAGGGACCTATGTCGTCCTGAATCTGCCTTCCACATCACAGCCCCAGAGCTTCATGCTTGACACAAAGCTTTCTGAAGACTATCAAACCAGTACTCAACAGGAGTATGATGAAGAGTTTGGCTTCCCTTACGCGGTGATCAAGTTCACCTGCCACAACGTTGCAAAGCCTGCTGAGCAAGGCTTCTTGCGCCTTTACGCACAGATACCAATAGACGGTACCCTCAGATCCAAACCCGAAATACGGGGCAAGCAAGCCAGGGAATCAAGCTCCCATGCCGAGCCTCAGGCACTCACTGAGCTGCACGAGGCCAATTGTACTGTTGTGCCAAAGCTACTTGGCGTGGGTCACTCCAAGCAAAGCCTCGAGGATTACGTTCCCGGTGGATATATGGAATGGGTTGCGTGGGCACGGGTACCTGGCGAGCCCTTGCGTATGATTCCTTACTGGAACCGATCATATGAATATCGACAGGAAGTTCGCGAAGCGTTCCGGAATATCTACGGGTAAGCCTTTGTTTACGTATTGGAAGATACGGCCTACTGACTTGAACAAGGGAGTTGATGAGGGGCGGCTGGCAGCCATGGATAGCCTCTCTAGAAAATCTCATCTACGATGACGTCGGAAAAACGATGTATGTGGCTGGGTTCCGTGGTGCTGGACCAGCCAAACGGATACCATGGTCGGACGTGGTATATTCCGAGTGGGGGCTAGCGAAGCCATCATATCGACACGACTGGTATGCCAACACCACAGATTGGACTTGGTAGCTTGGAGCGCCCTGAAGAAGACATCGAAGTCATCTTCAGACTACACGAGGTGATGCCTAATTCCGCCAACTTCTCCTATTTCCTGATGCAGCAAGATCAAATCCCGCAATATAACGGGACCTGCTCGGTCAATTATCACCTCGTCAAACCCCGACCCTCTTTTTCCTATTTCGGCTGTAGAGCTCGGCCCCACATCCCGGAATTCCACCCACAGAGCCTCATTTCGAGCCCCATGAGGGCTCCACATCATCTCAGGACGTCGGGAGAAGTGTTACAGGCACAGTCTCAATCCTGACCACGCTTCTTTATGTTGTCATACCGCGCCACTACTCTCGTTCATGATTACCGGCCAAATCGGCACTCGGATAGTACCTGGAAAACTGTGATTCCCCTCGCGCATTTCTTACACCGAGTCAATCCACCCGACGACTTTGCGCAAGGAGGAGCATTGGATTGGTCACGAGCCTTGTGATTCTCCTTTCTAGTTGTGGCAGCAACAGAGCATATTTGGGGGTATTTGGTCAAACCCGAGAGCCGATACCCTGTCGCTAGGGCGTAAATGGCCCACGGGGTATCCTGGGATCTGACTGACTGGGAGACCATCTGAATACAAAGTAGTAATATGACGCAATTCTATTGAGGACCATTTGGATACCCCACGCTGTTACCTTTTGCTCTATTGTTGTATCGCATGGAGTCAGGACATTACATTTCATATAGCCCCTGTTACATAGTCTCGGTGTATTTCAGAGAGCTGGATTCAAACGTATCCAAGCTTCCAAGGTTGGTGTTTCACTTTGCTACTTTATTCAGCCGGGCTCTGGCTTGATCGGAGAAGCCAGAGCACATGAACACGGAGTTGGAATGTCATCCCGAGGTGACCATCGTTCAAGTTCACCCATTTTAAGGCTCCAAGGCTTCAAATCATATGAATCACAACCTGGCCTTAGGTAGCGGAGTGAGCCCCTGGGTCCTGACATTCCCAGAATTGTCCCGAGGTCCTTTACCGAGTTTGGGTATGAAATGACATTATGATTTGCAGTTGACTGAACCTTATTCGCTCCTTATAAATCATCCTGACTACCCTGGGCCACCCTCGCTCTTATAATTGTTTGTTCCCGTCTCTGTTATTGCCAACATCTTTAAGTCACTGATCAGTCTTCGAGTCAGTCAGTCGGACCCTCTGCTTCACAGCGAACTGATTCTAGGCTCTATGGAGGTGGGTCGGAATTGTTGGGGAGCCACGATAGTTGACCTATTAGAAACATGGATGTGGTACCACAAGGACCCGGAGGAGTGGCCTGAGTATCGTGAGAAGATAAGACAAGGTCCAGCCCCCATGCTCAGTGCTCTACACCAGAGGCTCAGAGAGAACAACTCCACTTTCCTGACCACTGAGAGTCTACAAGGCTTCAATGTGGATATTTGCGGAGTGCAGAATTCGGATGATGAAGTTCATTTCAGCCCCTGCTTTTTTCGACCGCGCCCGGGCAAACTTTTTGAGGAATTTCCCCGAATCCCGAAAAGAGAGCCTAGGCCATACAGTCTCTACACCTTTCCATCTGCAGATCGCAGTCATCTCTGGGCATGGAAGTTTATCTGTGAGATCTATGAACCTCGGGAAAACCTGAAACCGTTATTGGGAGAGGACTATCCAGACCATAATTTCCCCGGTCTTGTCGAATACAGTAACTTGGATAATATTGTGTGAGTATCCATTGAAATTCATGGTGACCCTGTCCCAAGATTATAATGATCATTGGAACTGACTTTCATAGAGCAGGCAACCTGGAAAGTCCTGACCATGAGTGGTATGTACAGGAAGTACTGAAGACAATGTGCAACTCCAGTGGGACAAAACCGCCACGTCATCTGTATGGTCCTTATATCCGGCATTAAAGCATACAGAGAGCCGCAATCACTTTCGGTTTCTGAGCTGGAGGGTATCACGAGTATTATGGAAAGAGTCTTGTGGATCGAGGGCTATTCCATGTTCCCGGTAAGCCTTTAAAATATTTTGTCCCCATCTCAAGGGTACTAATATCTGGCATTTCCAGATACTGTGCTTGTCCTTTGTGGGCCACAAATACGGTCGGGTCATACAAGCCGTGTACTGGGGCAATGGGCTCCATGTGCAGTTCTCGCAACTAATGAACTTCAAAACGGATAAAGAAGCAATCATGGAATTGTTCTGTCGTTATGTTACTGGCGACAGGATTGGTTGTGAGGAAAAGCCTCTACTAATGTCAGGTCCTAACATGTAGAGGGCTAATCCTGATCTAGGAACTGTACACCCACTGCCTTCGCGGAGTAGTAGGTACGATAAAATCACTAACTTGGCTCAAATATAGCCCTTTTTTATATGCCCTCACTAGCTAGATTTCGATATATGAAGCCCTACGTGCAATGGCAATTATGCCAACTGTCAGCTAGGAGATCGTTATCATTTCACTTCCCATTTTGAATAGCTCGAAGTAGGCAAGAGCATATCAGAGGCAAAAAATATCAACATCTTCTTTTGGGAAGAGCTTGTTGTAGACGCGAAGTCAAGTGCTCTTGCTTTATACATCGTGCTCTTTCCCGAGGTCTTCTCCTAGTCTCTGTCCCCCTTTCTCCCTCCCTCTCTCCCTCCCAAAGACTCTTTACTTCAGTTTGCTTGTGCCAAAGGCATAGACCATTTCTTCTATTCTTCTAAAGCTCTCTGGTTATTCTATTCTTGTGGCGAGTATCAAACTCTGCACCTTGCCTCCGGAAACGGTCATCAAAGTTGCACCATCAGCCAGTCTACAGGAGTGAACGGATCAAGGCAACATAGTGGGCACACGGATTCCGAATACCGTTTCCTGAAGAAGAGTACGTTGACTGCACTCCTGCGAGCGAAAAAAAAGTTTACTGACATATTCTTATAGATCGAGAGGAGAACCTTGCCTCAAACAAGGGTAAGTGACTATCAATATTGATACCAATCTGTCCACTCCTTTGTCAACTACCCAGCCCGAAGCATACATCATTTTATCTATACTCACAATACACACTGTATAACCAGAGCATGCCTACCAAACAAGTTGACTGACCTTATGTTACTAGGCAAGTCGGAAAGCCTCGCCGCAAAGAAGGACTTGGCAAGTCGGAAATCCCCGCCAGAAAGAAGGGTAAGTTACATTTCAAACAGACATATCCTTGCTTCGTTCTCAAATGCCGGGTCTGACCCGCCGAACATGGTCTTTGCCCGCGTGCTTGCTTTGATATCAACACTCAGATTGTCTTCCAATCGTTGAGCTCACGCCTCAAAGAACCCATTTACTGATAAACCACCACTAGGAGACCCAAAGGCTACTGGCAAGTGGAAAATCCCGCCCCAAAGAAGGGTAAGTCGCTTTCTCGCTTATCGCTTACTGAGTTACGGGGCGAAAGGCTGACATGGGGATATTAACACTAGGCACCAAAAGGCCACGACCCGTGAGCACCTCGCAAGTGGGAGTTCGGGACTCTCCTCGCCCCGGTAAGCTCTCAATACTACCATGAGTTTCCCACACCACCTCTACGATCTTGTCAACCTAGTGATGAGGCTGTTTCTTGCATGAAACATAACCATGAGATATCCTTGGAAAGATTATCAATATACTAACAAAGCTCTAGGACGCGCTCTGCCGGAAATTCCGGGCAGTCTGGTGCCCTCGGAGTCTGGCTCCACAAGGCTTGGTTCGTCTCCCCAGTTGACATTTTCCTTCACTTTTCACATTTTTCAGGTTCGAGTGTACTGACGTGAGTCTATAGGGGCCAAGCGGCCAAAAGAGCCGATGGTTTCCATCGGGGAGTCCTTGGACGCCCCCTCCTGTACGTATATGAATTTTCTAGCAAAAGCCAGGTGATTGAGCCTCAACTTACCGTATAATATCGCAGCCATCCTCCCCCCGATCCTCTCCCGGTCCCAAGTGGCCTCAGTTCATTTTCGCCCTTGCGCAGGGATGAGCTCACATTCATTGCGGCGTAGCTGGTTTCATACCGGCGGACAGGAAGCTGCTGTCTCGCCGCTGGGGCGGCCCTGAGCGGAAGCTACGAGCAACCGCTATTGAGGACCCGAGGGTGGAGCGATTAGGCGCCAGAGAATAAGTGGGCGGATGTCTCTGAATGGGAAGTTATCGCTTTATGAGAGGCAGAAAGATGACTCACGGTAGTCCTGAACAGCAATCTCATAACAGTTCTGCTTCGTTTCAAGCTTCTCGTAGATTATGGTCGAGCTTTGGAACGGAGATGTCTTTCGCGCTGTCAAAGCCTTCTTTTAAAAAACCACATCAATAGGCGCAAGCAAAGTTCTTGATCTTGCACCACATAACGGCTACCCTTCACATTGAGCACTAGTGTCTGCTGCTACACTTGACTGACTCTTTGGTGTTTACTTGCTAAAATGGGAGAAATACTATTGTGGTCGGACATCACAGTTAGGAATATGCTGGGATTATGACTTTGATGGCATCTTTCCGTGCTTTATGCCTTCTATGGCACTTGAATAGGACACAAGTGGTGGAACTCGAAGGTTATCCTCCCGGTGAACACCACACAGTGTGGATTTCTTGACTAGTATTCCTTCATATACATCAACCATGAAGACCATCATAATATTTCCTTGACAAAACCATAGGCCGCCAGCATATGCAGTCCAAAATGAGTTTTTCATCATGTTGCGGGTACCTTGGACAGTATAGATCGAACTCAAGACGGGTCCCACCAGGGTTGGAGACTGTCTTGCAATACAGCCATTCTTGCCGACGTACGGTGACTCCTGACTCCCTGAAAACAAGCACACGAAAGATCCCAGTGGGATCCTGGGAGATACGGACAAAGGTTCAAGTGGTATCACGTCTCGTCCAATTCTCGGCTTCGTGTGACATCCACGCGACAATATCGCAGGTCTCTTGCCAAAGAACCCCCGGTCTCCCCTCTTTATCGCGATGCTTCGTCTTGACTTCTGCGATCGCGTATATCTCCGGTTCTGCGCC